CTCTTCTACTCTTTCCTTCTCCCCAACTTTGTTGATGCCACAATTTTAAAAAATTAAATCCTTAGTTACTATATGATTGTTATATTAATATAATATAGAAATATTTTTTACTGCAGAAGCAAATAACGTCTATGATTACCTTTATTTTCTTGAATCCCTGTTTTTTTCCTTGAGTTAAAACTTCATCGATTAGGAAAAAAAATATGCCTAGTTGTCCTAAAATATATGACTAACTCTTTCTATACCTGTAACAGTGCTGAAAACAGAATTTTCTCCATAGTCAGGTCAGATTCTTTTTCTTGGAGATGGAACACTCAGAGTCTCTGTTTTTCTGCTGTTTGGGATGAGAGAGACTTGCGTATGTTTGCCTGCTGGTGGCCAGGAGAGACCTTGGTAACCAATGCTCCAAGTCCTTGAGGAAGGGGGGAGTTGGACTTGATCTGGGATGCAGTGGAGGAAGTGCACCTCTTAAACTAAATATAAGACAAAGAGAAAGATTGGGCGAGGCCGTAGGCATGGTCCAAGCTTGGACCTTGAGCAGAAGTAGAGTGAGCTCCCACTGGAGGTTTTCTCTGTGACTTACAGGAGGTGAAGTTAATGAGTGGGAATGAGGAAGGCAGTAGATGTGGTGGAATTTGGCTGGCTCCTTCTTGTCACCCCTGCCCCAAGCCCTGCTTTCCTCTCTGTCAACTCCACTCTTTGCTGTTCTCCATGTCGTGGTAAAAATCGTCATTTGCCTCAAGATTAGCAGCCTCTGCTGAAGGCGAGTACCCCATCCTCCCTTCCTCCTCCTCCTCTCTAGGGGAGGGAGGATTCCTCTGGGCCAGGCAACCTGTAGGACGCACTAGAGAGGGGCAGGGAGGAAAGTGAGGGGCAGAGACCCACTGATTTGTTTCACCCTACCCAATGGCAAAGAGTTGGGTGTCCTATGAACAGTGTGAGGACATCGGAAGGTTTAGGTTTGTGTTTTGAAAATATTTCTCTGGCTGCTTTGTGGGGAGTGCTCGGCAGGGGGAAAGGATGGAAGCGGGGAGACCCACGGGAGGCCATCAAGCGAGTCCAGGACAGAGGAGAGACGTCCGCCGGGTCTCAGGTGCTGGTGGGAGCTGGAGGGAAGAAGGTGGCCTGGAGACAGTTTAGGATGTGAAGCAGGCAGGACTCAGAACGTGATCGGATGTGAGTGTTGAAAACACCTTCCTGAATGTTTTCTGGACTCCTTTCCTTCTTAGCTGTTGCCACTAAGTCAAATTGAAGATACGTCATTTCCTCCTCGTTCCTACTGCTAACAACGGAATGGCACAGCTAGCGTGTGAGTGTTTGTGATGGGTGCTGCTCTGAGTCCCACACGCATCTTCTCCTTGAATGCTCGCCTTGGCCCACCGAGGCGGGCACTGTTATCATCCTTAGGTTAGAGCTGAAGGACCAAGGTAGAGAGAGGGGAAGTGACCTGTTCATACAAGGTCACCTGCAGTGAGTGACGGAGCTAGGCTTGGAGCCCAAGCAGTCTGCCCTGCGGGTTGTGTCCCTAGCCTGGTCCCTCGGTACCTCATGCGTGGATGGCAGCTCCCAACTTCCCTGGGATCCCCCCTCCTTCAGTCCTTCTTCTAGTCTGTTGGCACCACACTGCCAAACAGCTCTTCCTATAACTTCATTTCTATTCTTCCATGTCCCTCATCCAGAACCACCCTGGCTCCCTTTTGCCTCTTTAATCAAATCCTTGAGTCTCTGATGTCAGGGCCATCTGTAATCTGACCCACTCAGCCAGTCCAGTCTTCTTCCTCACTTGTCTTTTGCAGAAGAATTTATTGCATATATGCATTTATGTCATTTTTAACTGTTTATATAATTTAGATATTTTGTCAGTCTGCAATATGGTTTGAATTGGGGGTGGCATTGAGATGTTATAATAGAAACTAATGCTAGGCTCTCCTTTAGAATCTCATCATAAAGCAATGCCATTCTTTCCATTCGTTTTGAATTTTTCCCCTGAGATGACAGATGTTTGGGATTCCAGGCTGAAACCTTTAAAGACCCAAGACCTAGTCAACAATGTTCCTGGAAAGGGCCTATTTGGAACAGTTGCTCTGGGGAAACTCCTTGCCCCTGACTGCCCATGTCTCAGCTTGGGGGCCCATTAGTCAGTTACCACGTTTGCAGAGGAACTAGGGAATTTTTTTTTTATATACAGATTCTCACTCTGTTGCCCGGGGCTAGAGTGCCATGGCGTCAGCCTAGCTCACAGCAACCTCAAACTCCCGGGCTCAAGCAATCCTCCTGCTTCAGCCTCCCGAGTGAGTAGCTGGGACTACAGGCATGTGCCACCATGCCCGGCTAATTTTTTCTGTATATTTTTAGTTGGCCAATTAATTTCTTTCTATTTTTAGTTAGAGACGGGGTCTCGCTCTTGCTCAGGCTAGTTTCAAACTTCTGACCTTGAGCTATCTACGCACCTTGGACTCCCAGAGTGCTAGGATTACAGGTGTGAGCCACCGGGGTGCCCGGCCTAGGGGAATCTTTTAAAACTGCCCTGGGGAGCTCAAAGTAGAAGTGAAGACGTGAAAGAAAGTATGGCCTGAGGCCGTATGGGGACTCTCAGAGCCTGTGAGGTGGTGGAGGGAAGTCAGCAGCCCTGACATTCTGTTGAAGGTGTCTGAGCAGTCCCCAAAGGCCGCTAGGAAGTGAGTTGTCCTAGCACTGGGTGTGTGAAGGCAAAACCTGGCAGGGGGTCCCTCATGTGCTGATTTGGAGCCCAAGCAAGAAGCCACGGGACTATTCCGAGTTACAAACGTGGCAATCTAGATTTTCTCTTCTAAAGCACTTAGATTCAGAATCGGAGAAACTTAGTCCCTGTATATACGTGGTGGGGAGGGGGGGCATTCAAATGTAAAGTCAAAGCTTGCCCTTTGATAACAAAGTTAGGAAAAATAAGCCTGTCACTAATGTGATCAGCATTTTGGCCTGTGATGCTGGAACCCCCTGGGTCCCTGCAAAGCCGCAGGCCTGATCCTTTGTGTCCGTGAGGGGTCAGGAGGGCCGAGGGAGGGGAGCTGTTGCCTGTGGAGGGGAAGGCCTGCACCTAGTCAGCTTACCTGAGCCCCAACTCCATGCTCCCCAAACAGTCCTCTGATTGGTCATTTGGATCTTCCCTCCCCAAACCTGACACTCTGAAGGAGGCGACCTGGGCTGGATGCAAAGATTCTGGTTGGTAAAGAGACGCCCTCCACCTCCCCCACCCCCACTGCCTTCCTAGTATTCTGGCCTCTGTAGCCGCCTCTGAACACAGAGAATGATGTCGCTCTTTTCCCCTTCTCCCTCGGATGTCACGGGACTAGTACCATTCTAAATGCCTGGGAGAGAAGTTAATGCGTGGCACGCAATGGATGCCTTGGCGCATTAGGGTTTAATCCTCTCAGGGAACCTGGGATGAGAAGGGCTGTGACCTTAATCAGCCAGGATGAAGCAAGTCTGTGGACTGACAGGATCCTGCCTGGGGGATGTTAAGAGCTGTCCACCCCAGAGGCCACCACCTCGTGAGGCCCCTTTTGGGCAGCCACTGGCCTCTCAGGGCCAGGCCTCCTCCGGGGTCCCTCTTCCTGGGGGAAGTGGACATCCCGGCCCCAGGCTTCTCTGAACTCTGGTGGCCTTACAGTGTCTCTAGCCTGTCAACAGTTCAGAGTACCCCATCCCGAGAAATGTGCCGGTCCCCAGATTTGCCTCTGCTCTAGGGCTTGTACTTCCCCTCTCAGAATGCGGGGAGCCCAGGCACAGCTGTGTGGGGCTGGGGGTGTCAGGTCCTCAGCTGGACACTCACTCACTGCATGGTGACTCGGACTCACTTCCCAACACTGGCCACATAGTTTGTGCAGTTCAGATTTTCGCTGTAACAAAATCATAAATTACTGTACATCTTGATATGGTATGATAAAAACACACTTGATCTTTAGCCCCAGTCCTCAGCACAGAGCTCCTAAAACCCTAGGAATTTCCTTAGTGATAGGAGTATCTTTTGCTAGTCCTAACAGGTAGCTTTCTACCTTACCTGAGTTTATGCAAATGAGATGATTTTTGGCTGGGGGGCTTCTGGGAAGCTTCAGGGTGGGGACTGGTCCCCTGAAAGACCAGGACAGGATTAGCAGTTGGAACTTTTAGCCCCACCCCCGTCCTTAACCTAGGGAGGGCGGGGGCTGGAGGTTGAGTTCAGTCACCAATGCCAGTGATGTGATCAAATATGCCCACATAAAGGAAGCTCCACTAACACCCCTAAGTGACAGGGTTTGGGGAGCCCCAGTTGGTGAGCACATGGAGGTGCTGGGAGGGTGCTGCGCCCAGAGAGGGCATGGACACCCCACGCACCCGCGCCCTGCTGTGCGCTTCTTCCACCGGTTGTCCCTGAGTAGTATCCTTTGTAATAAGCCAGTAGTCACAAGTAAAGTGTTTCCCTGAGTTCCGAGTCATTCTAGCAAATTACCGAACCCCAGAGGGGGTTATGGGAACCCTTGAATTTATACTCAGCTCGGCAGAAATGTGGGTGGCCCAGGTGCCCCATTTGTAGCTGGTGTCTGAAGAGGGGCAGCCTCGTGGAACCGAGCCCTTTAACTTGTGGGATCGGATGCTAACTCCGGGAAAATCGTGTCAGAATCGAATTGAGTTGTTGGACACCCACTAGCTGTCCAAGAATTGGAGAATTGGCACATGAGGAAAACCCTCAGATGTTTAGTGTCAGAAAAGATCTGAGATACAGACTGTTATTCAAAACTGAGAGCGTTAATTCTGAAACTTAAGTATGTGGATGATTTTACCAAAACCTTTTTCTCCAAAATGGATACTTTATCGTTTATTTGGAAATTATTCAAGCTTCATGTCGTTGTTTTGCCTTGGTCTCTCTTCACCCACACTCTGCCCTCCCGAAGCAACCCCCACTGCTGGCTGTTTGCGAGTCGTGGAGTGAGCAGCTTTGGAGGGTGGTATGGAAGTTTATTTTGCTTTCCTTTTGCTCACAGAACACGTTTAATGTCGCTACCAAGAAAGCGTCCCTGGATGTATTTCTGCCCAATGGAAGGAGCACTGAAGTGGAAATTCTAACATCAGATACTGCTGAAAGAGTCCTAGAGGTAAACTGTGTTTAAACTCCAGCTCCAGAACTGAACTTAGGAATAATTTTGTTTGGAAAGCAGGGCCTAGGATATGGTTACCTTCCGGAAGCTTCCTGCCTGCTGTTTTGTCCCGTGGATGCAGAGGTGCTGGCGTCTCCCGGGAGACCTACCAAGGAACCTGGGACACAGCCAGTCCTCCAGGGGCTCTTTGCTTTTACCCTCCCTGTGGGCACCGACTTCCTAGAGATCTCTTAGGTCTGTCCCTAAGAGACTGCTGCTGTCACCTCCCTGGAGCTCGGCCAGGGATACGGCCTGGGAACATGCAGCGTGCTTTATTACGGGATGTCCCGTGGTTGGGGGCAGGAAGAGGTGTGAGCCTGGCTGAGCCTGAAACAGGCCCTACCCAGGTGGGCTGGTGACAGTTCCTGACAGAAGGTGACAGGGGTTTCTTGAAGGCCTCTCTTCCCCCACAGAAAAAAACCCTGAAACCAACGCCCCGCTGGGTCTAATTCTGGGTGCACAGGGCTGGACCTGAGTTTTCATCAGCTCTCTGAGGACTAACAAAGTGTCTAAGTAATTGTAAAAATAGTCCACGTTCCATAATATGGTTATTGATCATTATTGGTATTGTTATTGATATCAGAGGAAGTGCTAAGTAAGTGGTGAATGGAGCAGTACCTCCAGGGGTCCAGACTACCATCTGCTTTGTCCATTTCCCTTGAAACTAATAGCATACATTTGATGAACACACTTGTGGTCTTAGAAAAACAAGGCTTCCCTCTTCCAATCGCATTGGCTTGTGAAAAAGTCAAACCCGAGACGTTGACATCATCAATTCAGGTAAGTTTAAATTGCAGGTCCTCCCCTAGAAGTGGTAGTTTCCATAAAAGGTAAAGTGAGCACTTGCCCAGGAACAGATGTGAAGTCTCTTCCAGGGGCTGGGAAATTCCCTGGGTTGCATAAAACCATAATTTAAATTTTCTAATGAAAACTCATCTTCTGCATCTTAAGTTTACTCACCGCCATGCTCACCTTGCTCCTCCAGTTCGCCTCACCCCCATCCTGCCTGTTACTTTTTAGTTGGCTCATTAGGGGACAGCAATAAGCTAAACTCTAGCGCCACTGTAGAGTTACTGGTGGTGCTTGTGTTTTGAATCATTTTAATGTTTGCCAAGAGAGCAAATATTATTGTCTCCTTTGCTGATGCTCACTGCTCTCAAAAGAAAGTATTTGTCCCCCCAATAATATGCTGAAATTAAAAAAAAGCGTTTGTATTTACATCTTTATAATCCAAAAAGGCTTCTCTGTCCTTCTTTTTGTCCCTACTCTTCTCTATCTGCCTTGGCACGTAAGCTTGTTACTTTCATCAGATGGATCAGAAAAGAGAGAGATCTGATTGGAGTGGACAGAGGTCAGATTTACTGTAGGGAATATGTCTTTCCTGCCCTGTTACTTGCCACACTCAGTCACCCACACACACAGAAGAGCCCTGCCATTTGCTTTTGGGTGTTTTACAAGGGCGTGAGGGGGAGGGGGAAGTGAGATAGAAAGAAGGGGAATGGGAATCCGGTAGAGTGAAAGCTGTGAAACCATTCCTGGGCTTTTCTTTTTTTCAAAGCTATGCTGAGAACACCCATTCATACCAGGCACCTAATCAGACTGCCTTCCAGGATAATTTGCAGCACTCTGACAAGAAAAGTACCCCTTTGAGCCTGGTATTTGCATGACTGCCACCTAGAGAACTGAGAGCCATGGCCAGAGCATCATCACTCCTGCACAGTGCTGGGGAGGCGGATCCTTGCGTGTTATAGAGGTGATTTAGCAAGTTAAGACTAGGAGTGCAAGGAAATTAGGAGAGCCCAGTCTGAAAGAGGGGCCAGACTGGGCGGGTGGCAGGGAGACAGCCTGTGGTCATGAGGAAGTTCCTGCTAAGGGAAGCTGAATGGATGTACAACGTTGTGGGCTTACAGCCCGAAGACCAGATGGTAAAAATGAAACCACTGGTGTCGAAATGAAAGCCGTTTGATGTAAAGGTCAAAGACGAAAGCGAAATGCAGGCAGCCTGTGCCTGGCATCTGAGGTTGTCATGGAGCAAACGTCATAGTAAATTACCCTTGACTGTTGAAGGAAGCATCAAAGAGAAGCAGGCCGGAGTGTCAGAGGTGGGCAGTGGCAGGTGCACGTTGGTATGGCAGCCGGGCGGTGGGGAGTGGCCGTTTCCTGAATGTCTTCTAATCCAGCCCACCGGGAGCAAATTAGTGTGCACACTCCAGGGACAGACATCACAGAAGGTCAGATGTTCATGGGGGAATCGCTGCTGCCCTCTACGGGACAATAAAGACCAAAATAACCCAGGAGATGTGTTTCACATCCAAGGTGGGACAACCAGCCTCTGTCCATTGTGGTGGGACTGATTTTTATTTTCCTTGCTCTAATTTTTTATGTTTCTAAATTTTCTAAAATAAGTGTGTATTTTAGATTTTAGATTTTTAGATTCCAAAAAGCTTTCTTTTAGTGAGTGTCTACTAACCCATGAGAGCACGTTTTATTGATGTGCACAAGCAATTTCCAATTCTGCATGTCAGGAAAGCATGGTGGATACTCCTAACCTTCTCCCCTTTTGCTTGTCTCTGGTTAAAGGTGGTGGCACACAAAATTGGACTGTGTCGGGAGCTCTTGGGCTACTTCGGCCTCTTTCTCATTCGGTTTTGCAAGGAGGGCAAGCTCTCTGGTAAGAATGAAAGAAGGAATGAGGGCAGCCAGGAGATGGGTGTGCAGGTGGGAGCAGGGGCTCGGCCCAGGAGTTGGGGGAGTTACAGCAGGGGCCACTCGACCCCCACGGTGTTGTCCCTACTGCTCGTTTGACCCCTGGGGCAAAGGCTTGGAGAATGGGAGGTTGCATCCTTGTTGAGGGAGAGCTGGTGCCCAGCAGCTCCAAAAAGGTAGCATAGTCGGGAGCAAGACCTCAGGCCATTCCAGTAACTGCATTTCCTCTGCATCCCCAGTCCCAATATTGGTGTCCCTCTCACCTTTACCCTGGGCCTGGCCGCTGGCACCAGCCATGCCACACTCTCCTGGGGATGGAGTGCTAGGCTCCAGGTGTCAGGACCTCCCAGCACAGCATGAGTTCTCCTTGTTAAGGAATATCAGTTATAAACTAGATGATAGAAATAAATTATTAGATTCTTTTAAAAGAGCTGTAATGAGATAGTGTAAGAAGATAGTCCAATTCACATAGATTTTGCTTTTCTCTACGGTGTGTTTCTAGATGTTACTAGTTTTTTAAATTTTAGTTTAGTTGTGAAATGGCATCGGGAATGTTAAAGTAACTTACATATGCCCTCAAGAAGCTGCGGGGAGGCGGTTTTGAGCTGGAAGTTAAGGGTTGGGTAGCGGCTGGGCCCCTGGCGCTGTGGTGCGCTGGCGAAAGCGCAGGATGTCTCTGGACCTATTTCTTCATCTATAGCACTGTGCGACATATCCCCCACTCGAGGAGCTGGTATTTTATGAGGATCGAATAATATTTATTCTTTGAATGAACTTCAGAAAGTTAAAAATTACATCCAAATGCAAGAGGATATTCTTTTCGTGATTTTATTCTTTCCGATAATAATGATTTATTTTCTCATCTGAAAGCCGCCGCATGTAAACTCTTCGTGCTCTTCAAGCAGTAAGACTGCCTTTCCCCCTCTCTAGTTGTGAAAAAACTGGCAGATTTTGAACTCCCTTATGTTAGTCTCCGAAGTTCTGAAGTGGAGAGCTGTAAAGTTGGACTCCGGAAGTGGTGAGTAGATACTTGAGTCCAGAAGGCCTTTGGGGACATCTCGCCACATGCTTGCAGCTGGAGACCAGAGACTCGGGGAAGGTCGCAGGGAAAGCAGTGGACATGAGAGGAAGCAGCATGCTTGTCCTGCAGAATAGGGTGCTGAGGAGGACTGTCCCTGGTCTCAGGTGAATGCTCCAGGGGCATTAAGATGAGCATGGCGGCCATCTATTCTACTTCTCTACTGAGAGGCAATCAAAACCGTAAGGCTCAGCAGGGCGGGGTGGCTTACACCTGTAATCCTAGCACTCTGGGAGGCCGAGACAGGAGGATCGCTCAAAGTCAGGAGTTTGAAACCAGCCTGAGCGAGAGAGACCCCATCTCTACTATAAATAGAAAGAAATTAATTGGCCAACTAAAAATATATAGAAAAAATTAGCCGGGCATGGTGGCACATGCCTGTAGTCCCAGCTACTCGGAAGGCCAAGGCAGAAGGATTGCTTGAGCCCAGGAGTTTGAGGTTGCTGTGAGCTAGGCCGATGCCATGGTACTCTAGCCCGGGCAACAGAGTGAGACTCTATCTAAAAAAAAAAAAAAAAAAAAAGACTATAAGGCTTGAAAAAACAGGGGCAGGCCAGAGGGCATGGATGGAAGCAAGTAATGGCGATACATTGCTGGCCATGGGTTTGCTTTGGAATGGATTACTGGCTGCATTAATGGAAGGAATTGGTTGGTTATTACAAGCAGATCTGATGCATCTGTTGAAGTGTGACATTCTTTGAAGGCAAAGGGTGGATTCAGCTGATTTACAATGAATTTGAACTCTAAGTATTGGGCTTACGTTCCTACAGGGTATAGACCAGGGCCACCCATATTCCTAGGACACAAGTGTCTCTCTGCAGAAAATACTGTCATTTCCCCCAGAAAGAGGGGTTCCTGTGGAGAACAAGGACACTTACCCCAGGCCTGTAATCTGCAGTTCCCAGCGTTTATTATTACCATGGCTATGTTACATTGCTGCTTAGGTTCACTCCCACCCAGACCGGTTATTCTGTACTCTGAGTACAGAAGCTTTAACGAATGGCATTTTGAAATCTAGGAATAGCAGTTAACTTGGCCTTGCTACAGCCACGGTTTGTGGCTTTGAATTTTGGAAGGATGTTCCAGCAAGGTTAGAAGTTCATATACTATTGTTCAGAAGTACTCTGAGAAATAGAGTACTGTTGTGGCATGGAACCATGAGAAAGTCAAAAGGACTCAGTTCCACTTAAGTATTTAGAGACTACTGTTCTGGAAGCTGCTTACACTAAGGTGATGGCTGAGCACGCTTGTTCCTGGGATCAGAGTATGTGAGAATCTAAGTCCCAGCTATCTCGGTTTTAGCTGTATAAACTTAGCCAAGTTGTTCAAGCTCTCTAGGCCTCAGTTCCTGTATCTGTAAAATGGGAACAATAGTGTTTACATCGCAGGATTATTGTGAGGGTTAAATAAAATAATCCCATACACCCAATACATTTTGGTCATGTTTGTTATTGCTGATAACAATGATTATAGTGAGCAAAAACAATCCCTGGGGCTTAGTTTTTTTTTTTTTTTTGCTCATGAGCTTTCCTGAAAACTTGAGATCAAAGGACAGATGAGGATTGAGGATTCTGTTCTTTACCTTGCACCTTGAATAAGAAATTAGGCTTTGCCTATGTCTTCATTAGACAAGTAAACTCTAGATGATAAGTGCAAGATAAAACATCTACCGAATCATAAGCCAGCGTCTCGGATCCAGGCAGATGGGCTGTGCTCGTGGGAACCTCTGTGTTAGAGCCGAGGACCAGGACCCGAGAAGGGAAGAACCTGGCGTAGGACCCCTCAAGTGCCTCGTCTTCTTTCCAGAGGGAGGCCTTGCTGGGTGGGAGCAAGGGGGCTAGCTCCAAAAGCTACACGATTCCCGGCAGGTGAGGCCTCACAGTAAGGTCTAGATGGAGTCTTAAGGGTTTTCCTTTGAGAATTCTCTGGGTGTGTCACTCCAGGGATGCTGTGGTTGCTTCCAGATCAGAGTGTGCCTGCCCTGGCCTCTCAGGGCCCCAGTGTGGGATGGGCCGGGGGGCTGGGGGGCGGGGAACTCTCTGACTCTCTGTGCGACAGTCGCTATTCTCTGCATACAGGGGCCGCTGGGATGTGAACAGAGACGTGGACTATTCCCCAAAAGCTTTTTTTCATTTGTTTGTCTCTTTACTGTCAGAGCCCACCAGGCAAGAGCTAACAGTGTAAAGAAATTAGGAAAGAAAAGAGGTGGAGGGACACCTTAAAGGTGGGCAAGTATAGGTAGGGGTGTAGCTTTGTTAGAAAGGCGGCCCTGCTCCATAGGATGAAGGGCCACCGCTTTGAAAAGCACTCACTCCAAGGGGTGCCCATTTCCATGTCATGTTAATTCATCTAACGCTCCTGAATGATGCAGGTATATGGATCCATCCCTTGATGCCATGCTGATGGACTGCAGAGTGGCCGTAGACTTGCTCTACATGCAGGTGAGCGTACCAAGAATTCTCAGAAGACCACGTAAATAGGCTGTTTTGGTTTGGAATCATTTAAAAAAATTGTGGTAGTTAATAATTCTGTCTCCATACCTAGAATAGGCAAATCCATGAAAACAGAAAGTAGAATAGAAGTTACCAGGGGCTGAGATGAGGCAGGAAGGAGGAGTTATTATTTAATTGGTACAGGTGTTTGTTGGGCTGATGGAAAATTTTTAGGTATAGATAGTGGTGGTGGTTACACAACGTCATGAATGTACATAATGCTGCTGATCTGTACACTTGCAAATGATTAAAACGGTACATTTTATGTTCCATATATCTTACCGTGATTTAAAAAAAACAAAAGAAAATTAGTAGAGGAGTTTAGAGAGAGGGGTAAAAAATAATTGTACCTCTATTTTAACAGTCTTTCTCTGAATTTGCAGCTGAAACTCTATTATTTAGCCTAATTTGATGTGAGCCTAGAATCCTTGATGTGGAGCCCTAAATTATCCCTGATAATTTTTTTTTTTTTTTTTTTTTTTTTGAGACAGAGTCTCACTCTGTTGCTGGGGCTGGAGTGCCGTGGCGTCAGCCTAGCTCAAAGCAACCTGAAACCCCTGGGCTCAAGCGATCCTCCTGCCTCAGCCTCCTGAGTAGCTGGGACTATAAGCATGCGCCACCATGCCCAGCAATTTTTTCTATTTTTGGTAGAGACAGGGTCTCAATCTTTACAGCAACAGGTTTAAGGTGGTCCTGAGGACAAAGCCCAGTGGCACACAGAGAGTTGGAGAATCAAATTTATTCACTGGCGGCTCAGAGGGTCTTGACCACAAATTCTGAGCCCGACTACCAATTTTTCCCACTTTTATTAAGTTGGGGTAGTCTGAGGGGTGGGGTATCAGGTTGCTAATGCCCTCCAGGTAATAGGTTAGTATTATGTTGATGTATCAGGTAATAGGGTCACTGATGCACCAGGTAATAGATTCAGGGTCATGCTGATGCGCTAGGTAATAGATTAGTTGCTGGGCCAGGTAATAGGTTGGTGTTATGCTGATGCAGGTCTCTGAGGGATGGGGTCTCTGGTGGCTGATGCACCACCAAGTAATAGACGGGGGTTTCCCTTATCACTCTTGCTCAGGCTGGTCTCAAACTCCTGACCTCAAACGATCCGCCCCCTTCGGCCTCCTAGGGTGTTAGGATCACAGGCGTGAGCCCCCTGGCCCAGGCTATCCCTGATAATTATAAGTCACACATGATCCCTGAATTTCCCTCTAGCATAACCCTCTTTCTCCTGAGCCAACAAGCAGCATACCTGCCCCGGGTGACTTCGTGGGCCCCTGGCCCGTGCAGTTGTGCAAGGCCCCATGCTTGTTAATATTCTGCTGTCACCATCTTGAAATTCTTAATTATTTTTTTTCACTGATAATTCATCTTGTCATCTTAATTATTTTTGAACAGGGATCCACATTTTCATTTTTCACAGGTATACCGTGAACATCATGTAGTTGGTCCTACCTACCCCTATCCCTCAGCCTCCAAAAGGATACATTTAGAGCTTGGTCTCCATTCCCTTCCCCCTAGTGTGGCGAAGGCTCTGTCAGGTGGTGAAACGATACACCCATGACACGCCCACCACTTACCCCACCGAGTTCTCCACCTGCTGCCCCAGCTGCCCCGAGTGTTCTCGCTCACCTCAGCATCCTCAGAGACTGGTGCTTCCCAGGCCCAGCCTGACACTTCTGGGAGGGAGGCCCAGCCAGAAACTTCTTTCCAGGAGGTCTTTCAGAACATCCCTCAGTCAGTTCTCGAGCAGCAGAGTGGGAGGAGGGGCAGGCCATAGCCCGGCCAAGGCTACCTCCAATTCAGGAGGGAGAATTTTGAAGAGAGGGAGAAATGGTGGGTCAGTACGTTACTTTTAATGAGCTTTTCAAGGGGGCGAGGTAACAACACCACTTACGGTAGTACTTTGGGTGTAACAAAACAGTCAGTGGGTGGATTTTGGTGCTGTGGCTTTCTAGAAGGCATAGAAAGAACCCCAGCACATACTTCCTTAGGGGACTTCTTAAGAGACCAAGACCACAAAGCTCTTCTAAATTCTAAAGAGGCAAATCAAAATATCACTTAATTGTTTAATGTTCACTATTATATTTTTATGGCCAGAATGTAGCTTGAGTTCATTTCATATTATACTTTGATCTGTATGTAATCATGTTCGGTGTACCCATGTTATGTGAGGTGGAGCAGAATTTACCATTTTAAATGTTCATCAAAGCTCATCGCCATTGTATCCTCGCTATTATGATACATTATTAATTGTGTCTGGCTTATTTCACATCGCACCCTTGGTTGAGAGTACAGCACCTAATTCTGATAGCGTTCCTTTGGGGAATACAGTCTGGATGGCATGGCTTCCACTTGCATTGTGATGCAAGGTCAGAACTGCCAACCCCATGCTGTGACTTTTTTTTTTTTTTCTTTTTTTAATTGGGGTCTTCCAGTCTTCTGGGTCTTTTAGAATTCTAAAAGAGCTGTAACACTTGCTGTGACTTTTTAATCTGTCTTCATTAAGGAATTGTAAACCAGAGAGAAATAGATGACCGTATTTCCTCTGCTCACAGCTGGAAAAAGGGGCGGCTTCAGGGAAAGCTCACTGAATCACAGTTTCAGAAGCCAGGTCTGTCCCCTGCTCTGCCACTAGCCTCTCTCCGTGTGGCCTTGGGCCAGCCACTTTGTCCTTCTGAACCATGATGTCTCCCTGTTAAGTGACCAGGTTGAATTTATAGTCTCTAAGTTTCTCCCGGCTTTAACAGACTATTACTCCAACCTTGGCTCTGTGCCTGGCAAAATCTTCAAAATCCTGTAGTTGCTGCCATAATAATCTTTGCCATTATCGTCACCATCATGATGATTGTCCCCTGAACCTGAGTGGAGGTACTGAGAAGTCCAAAGGCGGCCAAGCTCTGCAGGAGAGTCAGGGCCGCGATTGCCACCTCCTTTGGGAAGCCCTCCTTGGCCCTCCTCGGAGGAAAGCTCCCTCCTCCCTCCTTGCTCACGTGGTGTTTTGTTCACAGCCTCCATTACAGCACTTCTCCCCAGTGTTGTTAATGCCGGCTCATGCGAATTTCTCCCCAACCAGACTCTGAGTGGCCAAGGATAGAGACCACGTCTCCTTCCTCCTGTGTCCTGGAGGGTACGTGAGTGACCGAGAAGCAGCTACCCTTTTAAAAAGTTAACACAGAAAGCTCTCATGAACTCTGATAAATAATGGAGTCATTATAATTAACTATTAGAACATACCCTTCTGATTTTCTAAATGCAGATGTGCCTGGTGATGTCCAAGGGGCCAACTGGATTTCCCCAACCTGTTTCCTTTCTTCTCTCTCTCTCTCTCTTCTTCATATATGATGTTACATTTACATAAGCTTCTCCTTTTCTAAATGGAGTGGAATTAACAAAATGAGAGATTGCATTTAAAAGTGTACATTTCTGGGTTTTCTCTAAAAATTTGAAGGCTCAGTCAGTTCTGGGCCTGCATTTCAGCAGGGCCACTGCTGGCCCATACAGTGAGTCTGTACACATTAGAAAAATGTGCCTCTTCCTCCAGGGAGGGACAGAGCCTTACATGGGGGTGGTGGCTTGGTGGGGGGAGTGGGGCTGACCTTTAGCCTCCTAACACTCCCGGGGCCAAGCACCCCTGTGCGGGCACGTATGTCCCTGGCCTTCTTCTATGCACATGTTCTCTGTTTCTCACCACTGTGCCCTGTGGAGGCCACTGCAGTGTGTGTGATTGAAGCTCATGGAAACCATGGCTTATGTCATTTCACTTGATTTTTAAAATTAGGTTCTATGTAAGTCCCTGTCAGCCCGTCTTCAGGACAGGAACCACACAACTGAGCAGAGACATTCTGCTCAGGCATCCTCCAAGTACGGCCCACAGGCCACATGCAGGTGTTTTTGCCTGTTTGTTTTTTTACTTCAAAATAAGATATGTGCAGTGTGCATAGGAATTTGTTCATAGTTTTTTTTTTAAACTGTAGTCTGGCCCTCCAACGATCTGAGGGACAGTGAACTGGCCCTATGTTTAAAAAGTTTGAGGATCCCTGGTCTAGACTCTACTCACTGTCTGGGCCAACTTGGAGCGAGGTGCTAAATATGATGCATTTGGGTGATGACTTGTGAACCCATGATCAGGGTCAACTCTTTTCAGAGGTAGTGACACAGAAACAATTTGTGTTACCTCTGCTGTGGGACATTTAAATCTCTGTGTTTGAGGATCCTGGTCTCCTAAGGATGACTGACGTGTCTTCGGTTAAGACTTACCACCACGAGTCCTGTTCAGCCGTGCCTTCTCTCTGACACGCTGCCCTGTGATAACCGTCCTTACGGGGCTCTGACACCACGTGGAGTTCAGGAGAGAAAAGGTGTGTAGTTCTTCGTGCCCACGCTGATGAGTCCTTGCTGGTGTGGTGTGTTCTGTGAACAGTTGGTGGCCAGGAGAAAGCCTGGATGTGGGTACTGCCTGCCTGGTAGGATTCAGTGGCTTGGGGTTAGTGCTCAGACCTGGTTTAATATCAGACCTGCCACTTGTTTGCTGGGTCTTCTGAAACATCATAACCTCTCTGAACCTCAACTTACCCATCTATAAAATGGTAGTAATTTTTACCATCCCACTGAATATAGTAGTCCCCTCTTATCTGAGGTCTCGCTTTCCATGGTTTCAGTTACCTGTGGTCAACCACGGTCCAAAAATATTAAATGGAAAATTCCAGAAATAAACAGTTCATAGCTTTTAAGCTGTGCGCTGTTCTGAGTAGTGATGAAATTTCGTGCCATCCCACTCCATCCCACCCAGGACATGAACCCTCCCTTTGTCCCCCGTATCTACAAGGGATATGCTACCCGCCTGTTAGTCACCTTGTACCCACCTCAGTTATCAGATCCACTGTGTTGGTGTCACCCTGCTTGTGTTCAAGTAACCCTGCTTTTACTTCATAATGGCCCCAAAGTGCAAGAGTATTGTACCTGATTGATAAGTTGGACTTTATCGAAGTTGTGTATATAGAGGAAAAAACATAGTATCGATAGAGTTTGGTACTATTTGTGGTTTCAGGCATCCACTGTGGCTCTTGGAAGGTATCCCCCGAAGGATAAGGGGGTACAACTGTAGTTGGAAAAAAGTCAGTGAGAAAATCTATCTAAAACAAGTTCTCAACAAATATTACTTTTCTTCTCTCTGAATCCCTTTCCCCCAATCTGAACAGCAGTATCTAAAATGTATTTAGCTTCTTGAGCATTCTCTTCTCTTGGAGATAAAGCATCACCTACCACTATCACCGAGGGACGTAACACATTGACTTACATGCAGACTAAGGTGTAAATAAGCACCTGATAATTGGCAAAGAATTACTGAGCGTTTGGTGTATGTAGGACACTGCTCGAGATTCACTGAGGCTCAGGGCTCAGGGTCTTCCCTTGAGGGACTGACAGTCCAACTGAGGAACAGTGGCCAATTCCGTTCAATCAGGATAAGTCACAGTAGTACAGGCTGCGTGTATGCAGCCGATGAGATGTACTGCTACTGCCAGAGCTGCCCCGGGGCCAGGCCGCCTAAGGGGGAAGGGTGCTGGGTGCCCGTGGGACGGGGGAAGAGCCCAGGAGGAGGGCCTACAGCATGGGGGGCAGGCTGCAGACAGCAGACAGCCTTTGTCATGTCCATGCTTCATTTAGCTCCAGAACAGCTCTGATGAGCTTCCGCAAGGAGCGGTTGTCTTCCTGGCACTTTCTGCCTTTGAGCCCAGTGTTGTTCTGCTTAAACCTGCAGTGGATTAGGAAGCAGCTGAGAAACCCATTAAGGATTTGGAGTTTGGGAACAATTGGCCATTACCCAAAGCTGACCAGACAGGGCCCAACAATATATTCAATTTTAATTTTTAAAAAATTACAAAATTTGTTTTCATCTTATAAAAAATTTGCAAATATGGAAGAGCTCAAAAAATGAAATGTCACCCCAAATCTTAATCATACACACAAACTGTTAACTCTGTTGATGTGTTTATTTCAAACATATTTCATTTATAAGCACATGCATTGTCTTGACTCATAAGTACGCATACAAGGTTTTTGTTGTTGTTCTGTTGTATATTTATTTTATGTTTTATAAAAATATAAGGTCTACTACTATACTCCTCTTTTGTAACTTGATGTTTTATCAGTAATTCATAGACTTTTCTCATGTGGTTAAACATGCTAAATAATTTTTAATAATAGGATAGCCTATTATTTGGTTATACTCAAACTCATTTACCTATTTTGGGGCATGTCATGACAGCTTCTACCTCACAGAGTGACTGTAAGGACTGACTTGTTTTGGAGCACTTAGAACACTGCCAAACTCCTAATAAGCACTATACATGTGTCTGCCACTCTTAATATGTTGAAATTTTTTCATTAGCATAAATAATAACAGTTATGGCCTTATCAATAATTTTTTCCCACATCAGTGTTTATGATTCAAATATATTTGTCATTTGGGGTCTTTTTGTTAATTGCCAATACATATCTTTTGTTCATTTTCCTGTTGGGAATGCTTACATTTTCTTATTTCTTTATATAAATTTTCTTTATTGGCCCTTATTTCTTTATATAAATATTAACTCTTTGCCATATATGATGCAGTCATTTTCCCTGGTTTGCCATTTCATTTAGTTTTGTTCTTGCTGGTTTTTATGTACAGAAGTTTTATATTTTCAGGTAATTATATATTATTATTCCTTCATTATGACATTTTGGTCTTTTTTTTTTTTTTTTTTTTTTTTGAGACAGAGTCTCACTTTGTTGCCCAGGCTACAGTGAGTGCCGTGGCGTCAGCCTGGCTCACAGCAACCTCAATCTCCGGGGCTCAGCGATCCTACTGCCTCAGCCTCCCGAGTAGCTGGGACTACAGGCATGCGCCACCATGCCCGGCTAATTTTTTGTATATATATTTTTAGTTGGTCAATTAATTTATTTCTATTTTTGGTAGAGACAGGGTCTCGCTCAGGCTGGTTTCGAACTCCTGACCTTGAGCAATCCGCCCGCCTCGGCCTCCCAAAGTGCTAGAATTACAGGCGTGAGCCACCACGCCTGGCCCTGGTCTTTATATCTTAAAAAGATATTCCTTATCTCAAGATCAGAGAAAAATATTTTTTCTAGTTCTTTTATGGCTTTTTACATTTAAATCTTTGATCTATCTGGAATTTACTTGATTGGGTAGTGTGGGGGAAAAAGCTAATTTTATTTTCTTTGCCAAGTGTTGCCAAATGTCCCCAGATTAGTTGTTCTTCCTAACCCACTAATTTAAAAAGTAACCTTTCTAACATGTTAAGTCCTTAAATATATATCCATGTGGGTCTATTTTTGTAGCCCTTCATACACAAGTATGTTTTTGTCAGATGAATAAATTTCTGCTAGGTTGCTAATTTTACAATTTATGTTGATTTTAGGCAATACAGGACATTGAAAAAGGATGGGCCAAACCCACACAGGTGCAGAGGCAGGAATTAGAGGCTCTCCAGAAAGAAGACAATCAAACAAAGGTGAATCAAATATTGTACCAAGGGAGTTAAAGGAACATATTAGATTTGAGCTGCTCCTATAATTTATAAACCCATCAAGCACTGAAAGTAAGACTCTTAAAAAATAAGAATATCTTCACTGATTTTTCTGATTAGAGTATTAATAAAAGCTTATTAGGCCGGGCGCTGTGGCTCACGCCTGTAATCCTAGCTCTTGGGAGGCCGAGGCGGGCGGATTGCTCAAGGCCAGGAGTTCAAAACCAGCCTGAGCAAGAGCGAGACCCCGTCTCTACTATAAATAGAAAGAAATTAATTGGCCAACTGATATATATATAAAAAAAAATTAGCCGGGCATGGTGGCACATGCCTGTAGTCCCAGCTACCTGGAAGGCTGAGGCAGAAGGATCACTGGAGCCCAGGAGTTTGAGGTTGCTGTGAGCTAGGCTGACGCCACGGCACTCACTCTAGCCTGGGCAACAAAGCGAGACTCTGTCTCAAAAAAAAAAAAAAAAAAAAAAAGCTTATTAAGGATTTTAAATAATAAAATCATTATAAATCGAGTCCTTTCCTGAGTTAATATAGATCCTCAGCATGATTTTTAGTGACTACAGAGTATTCCATTTCGTGGTTGTGTTATCATTTGGTGAACCGTTTTTCTATTATTGGAAGTCAGGTTGTTTCTAGCTGTTACTGCTATAAATCACGTTGGCAGAGAGCACCATGGGGCCCAGGACTGTGTCTAATTTATACACTCTCTGTGCAGTCACAGCACCTGGTACAGTTCCTGGCTAGAGTCCCTGCGCACTGCAGCCAACATCCTGTCTTTGAATGTGTGTTCTATTATTCCTCAGGATATATTTCTAAACATCCATTTTTGAAGCTTCCATAAAGGTGGTACCAGTTCACACACCCCCTGCCCCCAAGCAGTGAGTATGAGTCTGACAAACAAGACATATTTTAACAGAAGAAATAGCCTTGGTTTCTTTGTGTTGTCTTTTCAAAATTCTTTTGACTTTGCCAGTGTTCACAACTACAGCATTGATTTTGAACAAAATACAACTAATATTTAGAGGACTTATTTATACTTACGTTGACACAGAAAGTAATTCTTCAAAGGCTCCTTTTACTTTGCGAGATTTTTATTGATGAGCTACAAAAAAAGAAAAAAAAAAAAAGAAAAAGGCACACACTGCCATTAATAAATACTTTTCCCCCAGGGTGTTCTACTTCAGCTTTGTCACAAAATCTTTGGAGTTCAGTTTCTCTGTGTATCTGTAAATTTTTACAATTACAGCTTCTATTTTGGTGGGTAGAATATTGCTGCTACTTCAGACGTAATTACAAATTGTGTATACCACAACCAGTTCTAAGTACGTAATCTGCCCTATAAACTTCTTAACTTAGTAAGAATATTATTTTTATCATGCTTTCCCTAAATGTGTATTTGTATTTTTTCCACAAAACTAATGTTATCTTCTATGATGAATGTTTTACCTAAATTTATATTATTCATTATAATGCTCTTTTTAAAACTTTACTTGAATACATGAATTAGATGAAAAAAGTTAAATTACTATTGAAATTAGCTTACTTTTTCTGAAAGCATCTAAGCGTGCTGGTATATAATCAGCATTATTTGTTTGTGACGTTCTTCTTCTGCTAATGGAGCAAAAACACATTAACAGCTATTACTTTATGTACATGCACAATAAAACTTGGAATTGAAACTAAATTAATTTAATTAAAAAAATTAATAATTAATTGAAAATAATTTAAAGAAGAGTCATATGGTCTAAATTAGAGTTAGGCTAACTATTGCCCATGGGCCACTGTTTTTATAAATAAAGTTTTATTGACACATAGTCATGCTCATTCATGTATTGTCAAAGGCTGCTTTTGTGCTACAGTAGCAGAGGTGAGTAGTTGCAACAAAGTCCATATCCCTGTGAAGTTTAAAATATGGCTGTTTACATAAAAGTTTGCCAACCCCAATCTAAATGAAAATATGTAAACATACTTTCTGCAGCAATATATGTTAAATTGTCTTTTTCAGGTACAGTCTTCTTATTTTTTCTTAATTTTTCAAGCAGATAATCCTTGCAGATTTCCATCTTCTGATTTTCATGTAGTTAGTGATATCACAACACACCTATGTTGAATGGCAAATGCCAACAATCATTTTAAATAAGTTACTTATTCACAACTCCTTTGCAAAATAGAGCTTTACTTTTAATTACACACTTTCATTTCTTTTAGCTCATTGCAGCCAAGAGGTTATTACGATTTTTTAAATGTTATCAAACAATAAAATAAACATTATAGATTTATTCCATATATTAAGTTAGAGAGTATTGTGGCAAGAGATGAAACTACTCTCTATATTCTTGACACAAGATAATTTAGCCCCTGCCCCAGCCCTACACAGGTATCCTGTACTTACGACCTGTCATTTCTGGTGTTTCTCACTGACCCAGCAGAAGGCCAGGCTACCTTACTGCATCGCCCAAGCTGAAACCCAAGCCATAGTGCAGGGAGCTGGTCCATGGGGCTGGGAGAGACAGTAGTTTTGAATATTTCTCCCACCAGCATGAGATCCAGAGTCTGCCGTCCAGAATCTGCCATCCCTCTCCACTTAGATCTCAGCATGGTTCACTGTATCAGAGGATGCTTCACAGAGTCCTTGAAAAGGAGGTGTGAGTTACCTTGCTCCAGGATAGGATCAGAAAAGAGGCTGTCATTGGGTGGTCTTCTTTCCGATGTAACCACATGCTAAAGTGAGAACTGTGTTCTGCACACACATCTCACACGCCATTAGGCCAGGCCCATCTGTAGTGAAAGCTGGGAGAACAAGGTGGAGGTCACCAAAAAAAAAAAAAAAAAAAAAAAAAAAAAAATTAAGAATTCTGAATAGACATTAACAGAACAAGATGCCAGGGCCACAGGTGTGAATTGCAACTGTCCCCTGTTCTTAGGTTACTTCAGAAGCAGTGGGAAGAACTAAAAGTTAAAACCAACACAAAAGTGTTCCCTTGGCATTTGAGGGCTCTCTGGAATTCTACTTAAAAAGCAGACCTACTAAAGCTCTCATTTCATCACCATTCCTCAAATCTCTTTCTCTGACAATACCACCGTCCTATAAAACAGCCTGTAAAAATGAGCTACTTTTCCTCCTATGTAGATATCAGCTTAATTTTTTAAAAGATGACTTTTTTTTTGAGACAGAGTCTCACTTTGTTGCCCAGGCTAGAGTGAGTGCCGTGGCGTCAGCCTAGCTCACAGCAACCTCAATCTCCTGGGCTCAAGCGATCCTGCTGCCTCATCCTCCCGAGTAACTGGAACTACAGGCATGCGCCACCATGCCCAGCTAATTTTTTTGTATATATATTTTTAGTTGGTCAATTAATTTCTTTCTATTTTTAGTAGAGACGGGGTCTCGCTCAGGCTGGTTTCGAACTCTTGACCTTGAGCAATCCACCTGCCTCGGCCTCCCAGAGTGCTAGGATTACAGGCATGAGCCAACGCACCGGCCTAAAGATGACATTTTAAATGTGCACTTTTTGTTTCCTTGTTGTCATAGTCCACTGGGATGGAATCATGTCTGCTCATTCATTTGTTCATGCCACTCTTTTCTTCATTCTTCATTCACTCGTCAAATATTTGTAGTCCCACTATGTGCCAAGCCCCATAACAGGAGCAGGGCACCATGGTGAAGGAGGCAAGCATGGCCTCTCCCCTGGAAGGACACACTATGAACCTCCCTGGGGCTTACCGTCAGCACAAGGGGCGCTGTCTTCTTCCTTATGGTCCAGGTTTTCATCTGCTTCCAGTGGTCTTTTGCTTCCTTCTGTCCCTCACCCTGCCCTGTTTTTGGAACAGTTTCTGGAGCTGTCCCGGGAGGTACGACACTATGGCCACATGCAGCTGGATCCCTGCACCTGCGACTACCCGGAACCAGGCTGCGGGGCCGTCCTCTCCGTCGGCAACAACGAGATCAGCTGCTGCATCACCCTGCCTGGTAACCAGACCCAGGATGTCATTTTCCAGATGAACAGGGTGAAGTGCTGGCAGGTCACTTTCCTTGTGAGTATCTTCGCACCTTGCTTTGCCCATGATTTAAAGTCTCCACGTGTGATTTAAAAATCCTATTGCTCTTGGGTGACTAAGCGCTAGGGAGACAGGTTTGCCGTTTGAAGCAGTAGCTTGAGTGGAGTGGCATTTAAGCCACATTGCACTTCATCTAGCAGTGAAACCCATCTGGAGTCGGGTATGAGTTCTCCGTCTGGAGCAGCAGAGACACCGATCTTCCCACCTTCCGAGAGCTGACCTCTCTACTGCTTGAAGGGAGGCTATGGTAATAACAGCTACTGTTTATTGAGCACTTACTATGTGCTCAGTCCTGATACGATCTCTCTGCTTCAAAACTGGCCTCCGACCAGCAGAGCTCTTCTTAAGGAGCCCTGGCATCATGCTTGCTTCACCAGCTCCTTGCAAGACAAACCCTTATCACGTTTGTGGAGTGCTACATTGTACCAGGTACAATGCTGGCCACTGCCACATCTATTATTAAATTCTCACCAGAACTCATTGAGCTAAATGGGGTCACCCTCTTTACACAGGAAACTGAGGTTAGCTAGTAGAGGACAAAAGCTAACAGAGCAACCATGATGCCCACTTGTTAAATCCATGGGCTTCCTGGGGACTTTTTAGCTGGTCTAGCACTTGCCCTCTCTGTGACATTTGACACTGTCAACCACCTCTCCCTTCTCAAAACTCCCTCTCCTTCCTCCCCTACTGCCACGGGCCGCTTCCCCCTCTGAGCATTGATTGGCTAAATGCTGGTGTTTCCTGGGGTGTCTGTTCTAGCATCTTTCCCTGCATATTCTCTGAAATCAACTGCCAGGTCCCTATCAAAGGCCCAGTGTGTCCTACTTGCTCTGGACACTGTCACTGGGTGTCTCATGGACATCTCAAACACAGCCTTTCCCAACGGCAGGCTCATCCCTCCCTTCTCATGCCCATCACAGAGTCCTTCCTCCTGAGTTCCCTGTATTGGTACATGGGGCTTCCCCCAACACCCCCTAGTTGCCAAACCAGGAATCTGGACTGTCTCTGTTTCCTCCTCACTCTTACCCTACATGTGTAAGTGCCAATGGAGGCCGACCTTGTTATCCCTCAAAGATCTCCCTTTGTTTCCAGGCTCACAGCTCAGTCTCAACGTTCCCTGCATAGACGGAAGGAACAGCTTCCTAACCCTTCTCCCTGCCCCACTCTTGCCCCCTTGGGAGTCAGAGAAATTTAAACGTATGGAAACTTGCTATAGGGCCCCAAATTTAATCTTTCTTAGTGCATGTTCCATATGTACTTAAAAAGAATGTGCCTTCTGCTATTTTCTGGAGTATTCTATAAATGTCAATTACTTTAGTGATTTTTTTTTTTTTTTCTTTTTGGTCAGCAAAATTCCTTGGAAGTTCATCCAGGTTATTGAATGTATCAGTAGTTTGTCTCTTTTAATTGCTAAGAAGTAGGGCAAGATATGGATGTGCCAATGTTTGTTTAACCATTTACTCATTGAAGGACATCTGGTTGTTTCCAGTTTTTAGCTATTATGAATAAAGCTGCTGTAAATATTCATGTACAGGTTTTTGTCTTTCCACAAGTCTTCATTTCTCTGGCATAAATACTCAGAAGGGCAATTGCAGGGTCATCTGGTATTGCATGTTAACTTTTTTTTTTTGAGACAGAGTTTCACTCTGATGCCCAGGCTAGAGTGCTGTGGCATCAGCCTAGCTCACAGCAACCTCAAACTCCTAGCCTCAAGCGGTCCTCCTGTCTCAGTCTCTCAAGTAACTGGGACTACAGGTGCTCGACACCACACCCAGCTAATTTTTTCTATTTTTAGTAGAGATGGGGGTCTCGCTTTTATTCAGGCTGGTCTAAATTCCTGGCCTCAAACAATCCTTCCGCCTCGGCCTCCCAGAGTGTTAGGATTACAGGAGTGAGCCACCATGCCCAGCCTGCACGTTTACTTTTTTTAGAAACTGTTAAGCAACCCAAACCTTTTACCTGTTATTTCCCTATTCCCCCAGCCCAGGAAAACCGCTAATCTACATTCTGTCTCTGTAGATTAGATTTGTCTATTCTGGACATTTCATATTAATGGAATCATGTGATAATGTGGTCTTTGTGACTAGCTTTTTACTTGGCACGTTTCCAAGGTTCATCCTTGTTAGAGCATGTTATTAGCACTTTATTCTTTTTTATGGCCAAATAATATTCCATGGTATAGTTATACCACATTTTATTTATCCATTCATCTATTGATGGGACATTAGGGTTGCTTCTACCTTTTGGCTATTATGAGTTATGCTGTTATGAACATGTGTGCACAAGCTTTTGTGGACATAATTTTTCATTTCCCTTAGGTATATACCTAGGAGTGGAATTCCTGAGGTCAAATGATAATTCTATGTTTACCTCTAGCCTGCTGAGGAACCGCTAGCCTGCTTTCTAAAGTGGCTGCACAATTTCATGTCCCCACTAACAGTGGACGAGGGTTCTGGGTTTTCCACATCCTTCCCAGTACTTATTATTATCTGATTTTTTAAATAATTTTTGCCCTAAATGTGTTCACAGGAAGTTTTTATTATTATTATTATTATAGCTAACCTAATGAGTGTGAAGTGGTATCTCATTGTGGTTTTATTTATTTCAGTATTTTTCTCTCTCTGCTTTATTTTGGGTAGTTTCTACTGCCGTGGCTTCACGATTATTGATCTTTTCTTATATAATGTCTAACATTGCTGTTGATCCCACCCAGTGTACTTTTACTTCTAAAATTATATTTTTCATCTCTAGAAGTTTCATTTAGGTCTTTTTTATATGTTCTGTTTCTTTCCCTATCACGCTTCTATTTTTCCCAAACTCCTGAGTGTGTGAAGTATATTTTAAGTAACTGTTTTAATATTTTTGCCTACTAATTCCATCATCTCTGTAATTTCTGGATCTGTTTTTATTGACTGAATTTTCTCCAGTTTGCAGATCATATTTTCCTTCTCCTTTTCATGCCATGTAATTTTTATGGTATGCTAAACATTGTGAATTTTACATTGTTGAATGATAGATTTTATTGAATTCCTTGAAAGAGTATTAGACTTTGTTCTGAGATGCAGTTAAGTTACTTGGGATTAGTTTTATTTTTCTGATTTTAAGCTTTGATTTTAAGATTTGCTTTTAAGTGTTCTTAAAGTCCAGAGTAGTCGTTAGAGCTAGTTTAGCCCTTTACTCATTCATTCTTAGGACTCTACCCAGCATCTTGGCCTTGTCACTCTATTCTGACTAATGGAAACATGGACTCTGAACTCGGCAACCTTGTTTGTGAGCTCCTGGAATTGTTCAACTTACTGCTTTCCAGTGGTTCTTTCTCTGGCCTCATGGAGTTTTACTCTACACATGCACAGATAATTATTCAACCAAATATTTGAGAAAAGCTGTCTAGAGCTCTCTCTACGTACAAAGCCGTATGTACCCTTTGGTGTTCTGTCCAATAAATTCTAACTTCAACTACTTTTAACATTTGTCTCTTTCTCTTCAACTCAGCAAGACCTCTGGGCTCTGTTTGGGTTCCCTGTCCTTGTGCTACACCCTGAAAACCCCTCCAGGCAGTAAGCTGGGATAATTGTGGGGCTCACTTCATTTGTTTTCCTTCTCTTTGTGTTGACAATCCTGGGTCATCTGTTGTTCAATGTCTGAAAACAACTGTTTTCCAATTCATTGTTTACACTGATGCTGTCAGACCAGTATTCTAAAAATAAACATCAAATTGTAGTACTTTCCAGGTTTCAAAAATCTTTTTTTTTTTTTTTGACAAGATCTTGTTATGTTGCCAGGCTATCCTTAAACTCTTGAGCTCAAGGAATCCTCCTGCCTCAGCCTCCCGAGTAGCTGGAATTATAGATGCACACTGCCGTGCCCAGCTAAAAATCTCTTAATGAATTTCTATTGCCCTCTGGAGGGAAAAGATCCTTAACTTAGCTTATAAAACCTATAAGAGTTAGGGCTCTTTGGTGGCAAGCAATAGAACCAACACTAGTAAAAAATAGATTTGTTGGAATGATATGGAGTAACCTACAGATCAAAGGAAAAGCTGAAGCTTAAGAAAATCAGGAACCAAAGGAGCTCAAGGTGTATAGGAAACAGGAACTTTCTATCAGGACCTGCTCTTTGGGTCTCTCTACTCTGGAATCAGATGAGGCGCACAGAGAATTATTTGTCCAATTGGCTTAACCTTGTGTCATAAGCCACCTCCTGACTTACCATTCCCTGACAGTCCTACATAGATGACCTACAGTGAAAGATAGATGGTTTCCCCAAGAGAATTGGAGGCTAGGAAAAAGAGCGATAGATGCTGTACAGCAAAAATCACAGACGTTCCCTAGCCAGCTTTCAGGATCTGGTCCTGCCCTGCCTCTCTAAACCTCTTCTCACGCCAGCCTCCGTGCCTGGAGCCCTGCTGCAGCCTCGCTCCATCCCTTGCAGTGTCTCCAGCATGCCGGGCTCCCTATGCACTTGCTATTTCTTCTACCAGGAACCACTTCTCACCTTCCCTCCAACCCCCTAAAACAAATCCACCACAACAAACTTGGATGGTTTCTACTTTGTTCAGATGGCCCTCCCTCCAGCAAGCCTCCCTTTACCCTCCCAGCCTGGGTTAGGGGCCTGTTCTGGTTACTTCCATAGACCTATGTCTGCTTCCTTGATAGCACATACTACCTCTAACTGTGGCGATTTACTTTCATGGCTCCTCAATAGATTGATAGCTTCTTAGGAATAAGGACAGTTTCACTCATTCTGATATTTTGCTGAGCACATTAACAGGCACTTGAATTTCTATTGAATATCCAGTAACATCTTTTCCTCTGTAGGGGACTCTGCTGGATTTGGATGGGCCCCAGAGAACTCTCAACCAGAACTTAGAGCTCAGATTTCAGTACAGCGAGGAGAGTCGCTGGCAGTGGTTTGTTATTTACACCAAACAGGTAAGTTTTCAGGTCACAGCATGAAAACCTTCTGTGCTGAAAGGCTATCTTGCTTGCTGGGGGGACAAGGCACATTGCTCTAACCCAACTAGAGCAGGGCACTGGAGTGTGCCACACACTCTCTTTTTGGACTGCAATACCTTTTATTTTGATTTCTGTTTGGTTGTAGTTTACTAGTCACCATGGCCTTCACATCAGTTAGCAATGAATTTAGTTACCAAGTAATGGAAGACTCAACTAACAGTGGCTTAGACCAGGTGTCTGCAAACTTTTTCTTAAAGGAGCAGGTGGTAAATACTTTAGGATTTGATGTCTCTGTTGCAACTGCTCGACTCTGGTAGGAGCAGCTACAGACAGTACATGAACAAATGGCTCTGGCTATGTTCCAGTAAAGCATTATTTACAAAAATAGGTGATGGGCTGGATTTGTTTGCTTACCTCTGGCTTAGACAATACAGATTGTGTTATCTCACTTAATATTAATAATGCTGGAAGTAAAGATTGGCATTCCTATTACTCTTTTCTTATTCAGGGCCTTTTACAAGCAGATAAAAAGCTACAAGTTGAGTATCCCTTATCCAAAATGCTTGGGACCAGAAGAAGTGTTTTGGATTTTGGACTTTTTTGGATTTTGAAGTATTTGTATATAGAGTCATGTGTTGCGTAATGACATTTCAGTCAACAATAGATCGCATATATGGCCAGAGTCCCATAAGATTATAGTACTGTATTTTTACTGTACCTTTTCTATGTTTAGATACACTAATACTTATCATTGTGTTATAGTTACCTACAGTATTCAGTACAGTAACATGCCGTACAGATTTGTAGCCTAGGAGTGTAGTAGGCTATACCATCTAAGTTTGTGTGAGTATGCTCTAAAATGTTCACATGATGACAGAATTGTTCAACAATGCATTTCTCAGAATGTAGCCCTGTCATTAAGTGATGTATGACTGTATTCAGTGGTCCCCAACCTTTTTGGCACCAGGGACCAGTTTCATGGAAGACAATTTTTCCATGGACGCAGAGGATGGGGGGTGGGGGGTGGGCAGAGGCGGAACTCAGTGATGTCCACAATGGGAAGCAGCTCTAAATATAGATGAAGCTTCGTTGGTGTTCCAACGCAGCTCACCTCCTGCTATGTGGCCTGGTTCCTAAGAGGCCATACATGAACTGGTACCAATCCACAGCCCAGGAGGTCGGGACCACAGCTGTACATGATGAGTTATCTTGAAGATGGGACCCAAGTCTAAACATGAAATTTGTTTCATATATACCTTATATGCATAGTCTGATGGTTATTTTACATTTTTAATAATTTCATGCATGAGATAAAGCTTGTGTGCACTGAATCATCAGAAACCAAAGGTGTCACTATCTCAGCCACCCATGTGGACAATCTGTGGTTATTTGGTATCACCATCATTCCCAATTCTGAATTTATATGCTACCAATAAGCAATCATTTTCTTATATTTATTTACACATAAGTACTTAACAGTAGAAAATATAACAGGCCATAAATACAGTGAAAAAAACTATGTGTTCAGGGTAACAGCAGCACAGTAGTCTCGGCAGAATACCCATACCAGCTGTTAAAGAACAGCAATGACAAACTGCACCGTGTGCCTGCATTTTGACTGTTACCGGTCACATGAGGTCATGTGTGGAATTTTCCACTGTGGTGCCATGTCAGCACTCCAGAATTTCCAGCTTTTGGATTAGGGATGCTCAACCTGTATCTCTCTTATCTGGAAAGCAAATGCTTGACCCCAGAAACCCCCCAGTAGATTTTCTGTTCTGTCTCATTGGCCAAAACTGGGCCATATGACCACTCCTGGCGACAAGTAGTCTGCGAATCAAGCATCTGGCAAAAAGGAAGAGGATTCATGTTTGGCTGAGAGTAACCTTAGTTATTGCCAGGGGCTGAGCATTTTATCATCCCAAACAAAATCAGGGTCTCCTTAAGAGACAGGAAGGGGCCTTGGGTGTTGGGTAGCCAACTATCCATGTCTGCCATAAGCTTACAACTAAAATTGGAGTAGAAATCCTAAAAAAACAAATCTAATTTTCTTAACACCAAATCCAATTGAAAAAAATTTTTTGCTGAATTAAGCTATTTCAAATTGGAATCAAAACTATAGATATTCTAAGATAGAATCAAAATATTATGCAATGCAAAGTAATCTTTGCATTGACATTATATTCAATTTGAGTCCCTGGTGATCACACTGAATTCTATGGAGCATTCTGGTTTCAGTCAACCAACACCCTCTTTCATTTCTTTCTTTTTATTTTTTTATTTTTTTTTTTTTGTTGCAAAGTTAAGGTATTATCTCTTTCAATATATTTCCAGTACAGTTGTGGTCATGATATCAAAATCCTCTGAAAAACATGAAGTGCTGGACCAAAATCCTGAGTTAAAGACATGGGTCCTTAGGTTCAGCTTAAATATGAAACATCCTTAGGAAAATGGTAGGATGGTTTGCTGAGGCAAGATTAGCAGTCACTTGCACAGACATAAAAAGATTTGGGTAGTAACACTACTCCCCAACCAGCCCCCTCCTTCAGAATGCTAAGTGCTGTTAAATTTTATTATGGTTTTTTAAATCTAGTCAGTAGCAAATGAGTTTAAGCCACTATAAAGAAGTACAATAAACTTCTTTCAAAGGATTCCTAATAAAGTCTTATTTCCTCTGGAGTGTGAGTTTTACTGATGCACACCCAAGAGCTACTTTTGCAAAAGGCAGCAATGTGACTTGTATGCCTTGCAAGCACACATGGGGGCTTGGGCCCAAGTCTTTTCTAGGCCCTTTAAACGAAAGCTCAGTCCCTTTGTATTTAATAAACCTGAGCTGGTTTATAGCAGAGTTCTAGCTTGTGTACATATTTGTGTACATTGTGCAGGAATATGGAATCAGTCTGCATCTTGTTTAACACCTGTAAACACCCTTCCTAGCTGCATTAGCTCAGGGTTTTGTTGTTTAACTATTTCATTCTCTAGTTTTGTGCGGGTTACATTTAATGCACAAACAGGTCTACTGCTTAGCAAAGCTAGGAAGTCAGAATTTATGTATAAACTGCACATCTGTTACTCTTTTCCTTACTGGTGGCAGCCCCTTTTCTCTCTTCCTCCTTTCCCCTTAAATAAAATTAATTCCTATCATGTTCTACAGCCCTATAAGATGTGGAGGCCTGTATGTAGCCCTTTCTCCCTCTGATTCCGCCTTCTGTGTCCTCCCCTCCAAGAGCTTTCTACTTGAGGTACCACTCCAGACAGGTTGGCTCTCTCTCTTCTCCTTCCTCTCCATCATCCCCTCCAGCACAGTGGCCATCCCTGAGCATAGCCCTGTGCTAAGGTTCTGCAGCCTCCACTTTGAGGTACAGTCATCTCAAACCTTAGTGGGCACAAGGAGAAAACAGCAAGTCAAGAATTAAGAGCAGGATGAGACAAAAAGGATTAGCGGGAAGGGAGCAAATGAGAAAATCATAGGAAAATTTGGCATATGGGTGAAGAGCCTGGCACAAGAAAGCACAGCCTTTGCATACAAGATGTGCAGCTACATGTGTCTTGGTGCTCACGATGATGATTAAACCACAGGGCATAAGGAGGCAACTGTCAGTCTTCAAAGAGTGATTAAAGATACTGGAAAAATAAAAAAGTGAAGAAAAATAGCTAATTTGGTTTTTTTAAGTTCAATAAAAGCAATAAGGTGCTAATATAGTCTTTCAAACTGGTTACTATATATGCCTAATAATAGGTCTCAATTATGTATACAACTAAATATAGGATTGACCATCATCAGTTTATTTGATGACAATAATAAGTAGTTTTGCTTGTTGTTCATAAAATGTATAAAATACTAGAAAACATGGGATGCAAGGGGGGAATTTTAAGAGGAAAAAGATTAAGAAAGAAATCCATTTTTCATCTGTCTTTTTAAAATTTACCATACATATGTCTATGTAATTGAGAAAATGTATGGTAACTTGCTAATTGCATCTTACGTAAATTTCTGGAAGTTAAAAAGATCTAAATTCTTGAAAGCATGCTATTGGAGGGCAGAGCTCAAACTCCGCCTTGTTCTATGAGGCAGGAAAAAAGAGAATGGAGATCTCTGTAGTTGAGTGAGTTTTTTATTTCTGGATTTCTTAGGCTTTTTTGCTGAGTAGCTGCTTGAAAAAGATGATCTCAGAAAAGATGGTAAAGCTAGCTGCTGAGAATCCAGAAATGGTAAGTGCTCTTGGCTGTGGATATTTTTCACTTTAAGTTCCCACCATCAGCTAACACTTGGAGAGCAAACTACACTCATAAATTCCCTGGGCCAGCAGGTCTGGTCGTCAGGGGAGAAATCCTAACCACACAGGAGCGAGCTCCTCGTCCCCTCTGGTAGCTCAGGCCTCAGAATGGCGCTGGGGAAGGAAGCCTGTCTTTAGAACTCAAGCCATTTTCCAATGAGAAATCCTCTTCGCACTACTGTGAACTCTTTAATCCTCTACTTTGTGTCATTTCATTTCTGCCTTCCCCCACATGGAGGCTTTCGGATTTATCCTAAAAGCTACATCATGAAGTCAGGATCTTGAGGGGTGGGGATGATAGTAAATAAGCCCCAGAGTTTGTCCCTAGAAAGAATCCACAGCCTCTTGGTACTTCCATTGTGCAACTGAAAATGCCTTTAGCAGTTGGAGGGAGTCATCAAGTCAAAGACACTCTAAGGCTATCATTTTTTCTCAATGCAAAATTAAACCTTATTTTTCTAGTCTGCATTTACACATTAAAGGTCTAGTGGCTCATTGAAAGGATGGGTGGGCAGGCTGTTAAAAAAAATTACTGAGATTTTTAAACTTTTTAAAATAGCCTATTATCATCATGATTTAAGCATGTCCCAAATAAGATAATACAATTTGATCTTTTAAAATGATTACAAATGCTAATGCCTGGTTGACATTTGTAAACTTAATTCTTTTGTAGACTATTACGTTGATCTTTAAAAATACAACAGAAAACATTTGCAAACTTCCCTAATGTTTTTATTTAATTTTAGTCTTTTATAAGAGATGGATGGCATTGTTAGTTAACATTGATCTTTACTTTACAGCTTTTTCCTAAGAAAATAATTGTACCTTATACTTATTTCTCTTTCTTCTAGAACTGAAAATATTTTTCCAGGGAAAATAAATTTACTGCTTCTCAGTGATTGCACAATTCAAAATGTACTAGAGAGTAGTAAATCAAAGCAATAAAGGAATCAAGGAGACTCTTTTAAAAAGAGTAATAAAATCCAACCTCTTAGGCAGGATGGACCTTCTTGGGTTCTGATTATTATATATATAAAAAGAAGAATAAAGAGAAAGGTAATTAACTGAAGTAATCTCATTAAAAGGGAGAAGTGCTCTTAAATATGGATGACTAAAACGTAAGCTACTTGATACAGGAAATACTTGTGCAATGAATAGCTAAGTAGTGAACTCAGTAGAATGGAGAAGGTAGCAATCTATTTCAAGTTTTAAAGAAAAGCAACAGCACTGCATTCCTTAGATTTGCACACAGACTGAAAACCATGATTTATCTCTGACTGATAGCAAAATCAGCATCTTAGTAATACTTTTGTATTGCCTTATCCAAATAATCAACAAGTTTTATTTCCCAAAACTCTTTATTTCTTTACTCATTTTGGTTCTCAGGAAGCAAAATTCAGACACTTCCTCTTGAAAATTTGACTTTTCAAGAGGATGTTGTAGGCATAGTCCACATTTCAATCTGGAATTTCATCACAAAGCTTTGGGTAGAATGGTTCCCCAGAAGGTAAAGGAAGCAGACAGTTCAACCATGTGAATTTATACTGAGTGCTGGGCCTCCTTACAGAGTATAGTTGACTAAAGTCAACGTAAAGTGGCTTAAAGTAACCATATAAATGTATGATTGTAACAGTCCCTTGTTTTCTGGGTAAATACACAAAGTCTGAACTGACACACAGCACTTGTAGAAGGCTTGTATGGGCTAGGACACAGAAGTCTCTATTTTGCAAGGCAGATTTTGAGTCCAAGATTTTTATAATCTTGAAGAATCTGAAGCAGGAGGGAGAAATTGAGGAAACTATAACCCAAATGAGCCCCATAAATTAAAGCAGATGGTCCCTAGAAGCAGATTAAATTGTACTGGTTTTCTCCTAGGAAGATGGAATGAGGGAAAGAAGAAATTTATTGCTAACTTAAAGTTAATTAGCTTCATTAGTTTTAGACAATGTTTTGAAAGGTAAGACTTGAACTGTTTATGAAGAAATCTTTAAAATTTGAGTCAAACAAATGCATTAAAGAATAAAGTAAACATAAAACCACAACAAAAAATGTCATGTTAAATTCTTAAAGGCAATATTAACCATAAACCAGTAGAAAAAAATGTATATATAACATTTTTCTTAAAGCTTTGCCTCTACACAAAAACCTAAATCAATTTTGTTAATATTTGTTGCTTTTAACTGGAGCTGAATTATAAAGGGTTGTTTTATTTTAAAATAAAGTATATGGGTTAGGATTAGGTTTAGCTATATGTGACAACAAGCAAAACAAGACAAAACAAAACATTGTGTCTTAGACAAAATGGAAGTTTGTTTCTCCCTCACCTAAAAGAAGTCCAGAAGTAGGCAATCTAGTACTGGGATGGTGGCTCCATAATGTCACCAGAGCCCTTTCTGCTGTGCTATCTTCAGTGTGTGTGTGGCTTTGCTCAGAATGCCTGCTGGTACACCCATCATTCTAACCACATTCCAGGCAGCAAGTATGAAGAAGATACAACAAGGGTTCCTGTCTTTTCTTTAAGGAGGAATCTCAGAAGTTTCACATACAATTTCTGCCTACAACTCATTGGCCAAGAGTTAATCACAACACAGGCCAGCACCTAGCTGCAAGGGAGTCTGGTAAATGTAGTCTTTTATTATAGTAGGATGTGTTGTCTGTGCAAATAAGGCTAGGTGTTATTACTAAGGAAGAAGGGCAGAATGAATAATGGAGTAGACTACCAACAATCTCTGCCATTTAAAGAATTGTAAAAGATATAAAGGAAAGAAAGTAGATGTATTTTATGCAATTGATGTGTTTCTGAGGAATTTCTGAAAGTGTATTATTTTGTTTATTGAACCATAATCTGAAGACATGAAAGGTACTTCAGGAATATGAGAGTGAATAATTTTCTGAATTAAAAAACAATTTATGGCCAGTCACAGTGGCTCATGCCTGTAATCCTAGCACTCTGGGAGGCCATGGCGGGCGAATTATTTGAGCTCAGGAGTTAGAGACCAGCCTGAGCAAGTGCTAGACCCTGTCTCTACCAAAAATAGAAAAAATTAGTTGGGCATGGTGGTGTGTGCCTGTAGTTCCGGCTACTCAGGAGGCTGACGCAGAAGGATCGCATGAGCCCAGGAGTTTGAGGTTGCTGCGAGCCAGGCTGACGCCACAGCACTCTAGCTCAGGCAACAGAGTGAGACTCTGTCTCAAAAAAAAAAAGAAAGAAAAAAGAAAAGAAAAGGGAAAACAAATTTATATTTCTATTAATCTACACCTAGTTTGTATATTTTTCCTTCAATTTTCTTAAAAGTAAGTCTGACCTCTAAATTAGTTTTCTCAGAAAATGGTGGAATGAGATGCCTTTCTAATTTCTGCTTACCTTATACCTCTCACTCCATCCCCAGCTACCATCGCCATACGTATTTTTCTCTCTATTTTTCTTTCATTTTGGGCACGGTGAGACCATTCAAAAGGCAACTGGTACTTTTAAATGTGTTTCCATTATGGGTGAGGAGGAGAAACACCAAAGGCAGCAGTTTTTGATGTTCCAGGACTGTTAGCCTTTTGAAGAACTAGTCCAGTCCAGAAAATGGAAAAACTATAGACAGCAGTCATGAGAATGGTCTGAGTATAGCAGGAGGACAAAGTTTTGGAGAGCCAGGGGGAAATTGCCGTATAGAAGTAAGTGATTTTATTATTAACAGAAACTATTAATGAAAGAGAAAGTACAGGAATATTGTATTATGAAAAAAGATTCACTTTTATCCCCAACTTTATTCCCACTAGTATGTAAAGTATTTAAGGCCTTATTGTAGTAAGTCAGGGAAACTGATTATATCAGAAACTGTTTAAGATGTGCAGTGGGTTCTATTTTATTTCTTTTGACATAGGGAAGGGGAAAGGAAGAAGAAGAAGAGAGAAAAATGCTGAGCATTTTCCCCCCAGGTTCTATATTTCATGGCACAAGACTAATTACAAATTATAATGTAGTTTTGTAAAATAATAATAGTAACAAAACACATAAGACATCAGAGCATTAATTTCTCATTTACTGTGACTTAACTGACTTTTTAAAAATGACTGAGATAGCTTCAAATATATGAACATTTCTATTAAGAATACTAACCTAAAGGAAGTCTCATGCACACCTCTTTAAAGCAATGTATCTTATAACAAAGTTAATCATCATTAAAAGGTAATGCTCTTTTGCAGTTATTTATCTCACTTAATTTGAAATATCCCATTCTACAGTAAGCAACAATAAACAACTTATTTCCCCCCTTTATTCTGTGAGGGAGTTGATTCGTTGGCTGGGGAAGGCGATCAGTACAGAGACATTTATAATTGCAGAGGGCTAAGCACTGCGCCCTGTTCGAGATATGCACAAACTGCACAGTTGTTTAATAGTAGTTCTCTTCCTTCCCATTAAGGAAGTTCTAAGAACTCTCTCCCCAAAGACCTAGCTAGGTCTACTAGGTTTGCTAGGGGTGCCCCTCCAGATTCACTGTCCACTCCTCACCTGCTCTGCGACCTTGCTCTGTAGGAGGGGACTCACTGGGAAATGAAGCAGGAGACTGGAGGGAGAGGGAAAGGGGAGATCGAGTGTGGATTTCTGTGGCTGGCGAATCCCTCCACTGGAGGCTATGGCTCCTGTCAGGCAACCTCTGCTCCTTACAGCTACCTCTACTCTCAGGCTCCAGGAACAGCTGTTCCCCTGGCCTCTTCGAGGCTAGAGGTGGTAACAATCTTCCTCCAACCCCCTCATTGCCAGCCCCTAGAGGCCCCACCAGCCCTTCATTGATTCGCTTTAATCCTGCCCACACCTCCGTTAAATAGTTAAATAGTTCCTTTCTAAAACTCTCCTGGCTTACCCCAGGAATGCACCATCTGTTTCCTGCTGGGACCCTGACTGGTGTATTGGGTTTACCTTATGCACATGAAGTATATTCAAGTGTCTTGAACCTCACTTTGATTCTTCCTTTGATTAATGGCACCTTTTGATTAACCAAAGCCCCATTTGGCTTTGATTCAGCATATGGGGTGGAGCTCCGTGGATTAGTTCAGAATTTAGAAGAACGTTTTGTCTCATGTGAAGTTCTTTTAAAAGCTTTCTTAAATCACAAAACCCATAGGCAACCACTAATGTTAAACATGACATGTCACTTAAGTTTCAGGGACTCCATTTCTGTAACAAGACCCGGGCAAGTGAAGGAGGAAGGCACAGATGACAAGTTCTGTACCTGCTGACTGGCAGCCTGTGGGACCATTAAGAGGATTATTGTGGAAGGGAAAATGTGCTAGTTAAATAGGTTATTTGTGTGCTTGCTTCTCTGGGCTGTGCTGACTGACATCTAACTAATCTATTTAGCAGATTGAAGTTCCGGAACAAGGCAAAAGTAACAAATACCACATTCATCAAAGCCAGGTCTGTGAGTAAAATTATGTAATCGATACATTATAATTTTGATAAATCTGCCCTTTTTTTCCCCTTTAACCAAAGCCATTCTGCTTCCAAGAATAAGCCAGAATTCCATTTCTCAGAAGCTCTTCTAAGTAGGCTGGGCCAATTGGAGAGCTGACATGAAGTATAGTATTTTTATTGTGGCTCTTAGCAGGGCTAAGAGAATTTTTATACAGAAAATTTCCAAGAGGAACACAAAATTATTTGGTGATTTTCTTCTATACCCATGAATTTTTTTTTAATTCTCTTTCTACTTTGTATATTTTAGGATATTATGTTTTAGTTTCACAGGTTTTCTGCCGTGTACTCTGTATAAAACACTTTTTAAGTTTATAAGATGCTTTTTTGCACATTTAGGTCTGCTGTACAGATAATAGTAGAAAAAAAGCAAAACAGACAACATTTTTGTGCCCTTATTTTTGCTAGGCACTGTTCCAAGCACTTGTATATGAATTAACACATTCCTCCACAACCCTATAAATAAGTTAAGGAAACTAGGGGGGCACAGAGAGGTTAAGTGACTTGCCCAAGGTTGCACAGTAATCAATAGTAGAAGGAAGCAGGCAGTCTGAGCCCAGAACCGTGCCCTTAACTACTTGCCAATTCTTCCTTTCTATGTCCAAATCCTAGTGTAGGTGAGTGAAATAAAGTTGACTTCTAAGTAGCATTCAAATGGGATTTATTATTGATTCAGAACCTGTCGCAGTGTCTAGTGTGTGTAGAAAGGTCTTTAGTATATAAGTACAGTATTTATAAATATGTAAATACATATAGTCCTTTCTTGAGTGAATAAGCTCAGGGGGCAAGGTAAAAGTAAACGCAAAAGCAAAGCTTTCTCTTTTGTGATAACAGCGTTTCTAGCTGGTTAGGTCAGAGACAGGAGATAGGAACTCCACCATTTACTAGCTACTCATCTTTAGGGACTCCTGAGGTGCTTCTTAAAGATTCCTAGGCCTCATCCGCAAACATCAATGCAGTTGATCTGGGATGGGGACTTTGGAAAATCAGCATTAATAACAAGCACCCCAGTGAGACACACTGCACCATGCTACAATTTCTTTATCTGCAAAATGCAGATTAGCATCACTTCATCATTTAAAAATTCATCCGTTCTAGCAGCACACAGCAAAAGAGCCGTGGTTCCCAACCTTGGCTGCACATTGAAGTCACCTGGGGAGCTCTAAAAACCGATGGCTGGGCCCCACCCTCGGAGAGTGATTTAATTTGGTCTGAGGGGCCTGGGTAACAGAATTTTTAAAAGCTCCCCAGGTGGTTCTAACATACAATCAGGATTGGAACCATTGCCCTAGAACAGTGGTTCTCAATGTGTGTGGTCCCTGGACCACAGTACCAGCATCACTTATTAGAAATTGGGTCTGAAAAACAATAACAAAAATAAATAAATAAAGAAAGAAATGCAAATTCTCAGGCCCCAAACCTAGTGGATCGGAGGCTCTGGGGTAGTGGCAGGGCAATCTGTGATTAACAAGCCTGTGGGATGAAGCTGATGCATTTTCAAGTTTGAGAGCTGCTGTCCTAGGACAACAGACGACACAACACACAACCAACCTGTGATCCATTCAGCTGTCCTCTCAGGAGAGTAGTGACTCTCAAACAGGCACACCTGCCTCATGCTCCCAACAGGACCAGCATGTCAGCAGGGGGCCTGGTGCCCCGACTATATTGAATGCCAATTTATTTAGCAAACCTTCATATAGAGCCTATCCTGAGCCAGGCACTGTTATAATTACTTTCCATGTAGAACTCATTTCATCCCCATGGCAACCTAGGTACTATTACTACTATCCTTGGTTCACTGCCTAGGGAACTGAAACACAGAAAGGTTAAGTAACTTGCCCAAGGTCACACAGCTAGTAAAATAGTGGAGGCAATATTTGAACCCAAGCAGTCTTTATTTGTTGTTTGCAAATAGAATTTATTCCTTCAACCACTCTGTGATGGGGCTTCTCTTATTGAAACAAATCTCGTAGAGAAAAAAATGTTTAGTCTATCTGCTCATGGAGGTGCTCACATTTTTTTTCACTCTCTACTCTCCATGCCCCTGTCTTCGAGATGTCATAAATACTGAAGGCAAACTACTCACTGAAGTGACATGACTTCTTAAAATGTTTTAAAATAAGCATAATACTTTTTTGCAGTTTGTATTTGTGTGGGGTGCACAACAAAGATTTTGGGCAAAGTTAAAAATTGAAAGTCACATGGCTTTAAGGGAGGAGAAAAGGACAGGACAGGCAGAGTTCAGTATTACCTGAGTGACATTCTAGAGCCCAGAAAGACACTCTGGACACGTCTACCTCAGCAGACCAGCAGGGGGTGCTTTCCTCGCCCTCACGGGTATACCTACACCTACCCCTAAATAAAGCTTCCACAGGATCAAACCATTTAAAATAACCGTTGCTTAAATACATGTAACCTTCCTGTTGCCCTATTAATACAGTTTTAACCTTGACTTTTTTATTGTTATTGTTGTGAAAATTATTTCCTCTCATTTGTATTTCTGACTTCTCTGTTTACTTCACAGCAGAAAGACTATTCTAGCTTTCTACCAAGAACAAGCAAGAGTAAGATAGCTAAAGACGACTGTGTTTTTGGAACCATAAAGGAAGAAGATCTTTGAAGAAAAAAAGTCTGATATTTTAAAATGTCCTCTCATGCTATTTCAAGATGGTGAAAGAACTTGGGGGTTGAGGTGGGCTTCCTATCGTCAATGGAAGAAATTTGACCTCTTCCCATCCTCTCTCTTCCATTTTTTAGGCATCAAAATAGCCTGTATTCATCAAGTATACTCCAGCAGCCCGTGTAAATATCAAGATTAGAAAGCAACAGGAACCAAAGTTAGAGTTTTTTTAATAGCTTGTGAACGGCAAGTTTGAATCAACTAATATGAAACTCATTCTATTTTCCCCTACAAAATAGACATTGACATGGCTTCATGAAGTCTTTTGTATGTTCTGAAATTACATGAATGAAAGGCTCATTAAAAATATTACAAATACACTGGGGGTCAAGTTCTAAAGACATGACTCCTCAGCTGAGGAAAATACGGCTTTAAGAAGTAGAATCGCAGAAAAAGAAACAAGGGTTTCTCTGATCCATCTGCACAGGATTAGAGCAAGAAGGTGATGAAATACTGATTTGTTTCCTTACATGATCCTGAGCCTACCAATATGGAGGGACTCAGGATAAGAGGCTGCCAGCTCTGTGTTCCCCTGTTGTTGTCATTGGACTCTGTCCTTAGGGTCCTGAATTCAGTTCAATAACTAACATACTATTTTGGATATTTTTATTTTGGAAAGCAATAAGGCCCTGCACTTCATATCAGATACTTTATATGTCTCTTGGCTTTAAAAACATGTATACTTTCTCATTAGATATTTTTCCTATCCAGTTTCAGTTATCTCATGGTAATTAATGTAATTATGTAGAGAATTAAGACCACAATAAGCAAGAGGGATAGAGGAATCTATACAATGTAATATTCTAATGTATTAGAAATGTAATATTCTAATGTTCTTTTCTAACTGGGTTATGTTATTAATTATATAATAAATATGAAATATATTCTAGTGAATGTAGAATTTACTGACAAAAATTCTATGAGTGATCTTTTTAAAATATAGAATCTACTAAGACCCTATAATATTTATCAATCAATGCCTATAGCTATATCTTCAAGTACCTTAAAGTTTTTATATTTTAGACTCTAGTAGAATATTTTTGCAGAGGAAATCACAAAGATCCCAGATCATCCATAGTGAGTATATAGATGGATTAGGATCATCTTCAGATTTAAATGGAAACTATTTTGCCAATTGAAGAATAGCCTTATTTAAGAATAGGGTTTATCTTTTTTTAATAGCAAACACCTACACAATGTAAAGGGCTGCATAGACACTAGGAATACAAAAATAATGCGTATTTGGGGTAAGAAGATGCATACATTAAATTGAACCATCTGTGACTGCTATCTTTGTAGGTTAAAAATAGTTTAATGTGGTTATTTTTATATGTTTCAACTTGATATGCAGGAGTGAGCAATCCCAGAGAACATGTAGTTGGTGTCAAAGTGTAGTGTAGACCTCTGTGTCAAAGGAAGTTGGGGGCCCTCAGGAAAGCCCTGAGGGAAAGAGGGACTTTGAAGAAAGAGTAGAGCTAGGCAGGGACAAAGGTGGGGGGACCCTAGAGAAACGGCAGGATGGCCGAATAAGTGTGGTGTTTAGGAAACAATGAGCAACCCTGATCTGTGCTAGCAAAGTTTTAAGGTTAAGGGAGTAGTTAGGCGATAAGAAAAGAGGTGAAAAGGATCAGGTTATATGCATATACTAATGCAGTAGTCCCCAAATATGTACAGAAGTTTATCCTTTATTGAGGATGACAAAAACAGAAGCACTGTAGTTAATAGGTTTTTTTTCAAAACATTGAGATTATCATCAGTATCAGAATATGAGAAGAAAAATACACACGATGACATGCATTCGGTGGTATATAACGTGAAGAATAAAGGAACTGGGATAGTAGGGAACAAAATTCTCAACTTACTTTGTAAAATGACACATTCCTTAGTAGTTATGTGAGAGAAGAAGCTTTATCATAGGTATGTATATATAGCCCCTTTTGGAATTATTGGGCCTATTTTTATCTGGAAGGAGTGTAGGAATTTGTCACTTCGGGATCAAAACACTTGATCATTGGGTAAGAGGTCTAAGCTCCGACTGCCAGAGTGGGCTTCCCGGCTGCAGGGCCTGGGAGAAGATGGCAAGTGAGACCCCCACTGCTCCTGGAGGTGATGACCCCCTGGGCGGCTGCCCCTGCCACCAGCACGGCCACTGGGCACCAGAGAAGACCAGGTAGGCCGCTGTTGGTATCCTTAGCAACTTCTAAGGGGTGTGGTGTGGCTTTGGAAATTACTGGCGTAGCTGTTCATCTGTGCACGCGCTCCTCAAATGCCTGCAAAAGCGGTCCCCAGCCAGCCGCATTTTCTCCTGTGACATCCACACTCACCAACATCAACTCCCTCCCTTTCTAGATGTGCACCTGCATTTTTACTGCTGTCTATACTCCTGAAATTACTAGCTTAAACAACTTGCCCACAGACAAACACACCTGAGTTTGAAAATGTCACACAAATAATAATACGAAAGAGGACGGAGCTGATGGCATTGTCTGAGCCCCTGTGGGCCGTCTGCAGGGAGGCACGTGCAGACCTGGCTGAAGAGCTGATGTCCTCCCCAGAGCGGGGCCGGGGCATAGGTCAGCGTGTGGTGAACCTACAGCTTGCACACAGCCCCTTGTGCACAATGAAGCAAATTCTAGGTTAACTATTTCAGTTAGACATTAAGATCACCCTCAAAGTAAATTTGAGAGGAGCCAAGTGATCTTAATTCGTGGAGAAACCAAATAGGTTTCAAGCTTTGGTGGGAAAACAGTGGCCAAACTGATCCTGAGAGACACAAAAAAGGAAAAGCACAAAAGAACACTTCAGCCATACAGGCAAGTCAACTTCCCTGCATGCTGTTTAGTTGTCCCTTAACTTGATTTTCTACAAAACAAAAATGATGAGTAAAACAAGTAAAATGGCAGTTATTAAACTTCTTATGTATGTCGCGAAGGTCAACCACCTAGAGACAAGTTCCATTCAGAAATCAACTACTGAGCTGGTTCCTAGATAGTGCCTCCCAATCGCTAGTGGAGCACTGCATTCTCCAGAGGCACGTATGCCAAGAAGTCCACCTACTTAGGCACAAAGGGAAAATGATTCCACTCCCCACGCCTTGTATGACACCATGTTAGGGAAGAAAATAGTAAGACTGTAGATTAAGGTTTATTTTCAAGTATGGACTGACTATGAATCATAGTGGTTAAGCATAAGATTCTTACGGGTAACTGGATTTTTTTGTCAATTATGTACTATAAGTACTAGGTACTTTTTTGCAATTAACTATGGTTTTCTGTCATAGATGTTCTTTATCCTCTTTTTTCTTATTTCTTTTCCCTTTTCATTTTTCAAAATTAAAACAGAGGTGGCATGCAGTCAGGTGTTCATAATGAAGATAGTCTGAGATCTTAGTCAATGAATTCACTGCATAAAATTCCTCAAACCTTACTGCCCTGTTGCAAACTCCTTTACCTGGGATTTTTTTTTTTTTTTTTTTTGAGACAGAGTCTCGCTTTGTTGCCCAGGCTAGAGTGAGTGCCGTGGCGTCAGCCTAGCTCACAGCAACCTCAAACTACTGGGCTCAAGGGATCCTCCTGCCTCAGCCTCCCAAGTAGCTGGGACTACAGGCATGTGCCACCATGCCCGGCTAATTTTTTGTATATATTAGTTGGCCAATTAATTTCTTTCTATTTATAGTAGAGACGGGGTCTCGCTCTTGCTCAGGCTGGTTTCGAACTCCTGACCTCGAGCAATCCGCCCGCCTCGGCCTCCCAGAGAGCTAGGATTACAGGCGTGAGCCACCGCGCCCGGCCTGGGATTTTATTTTTAATCTTGCTGGATTAACAAAACAAAAATAAACACAAAAAACAACAAACTCCATTTTTTTTTTAAATGTATCTTATGAGCTGGAAGGCATGTAAAATTCACTTTTCTGGTTTTACAAAATAAAAATCATTTGCACTCACTGTTGGAAATCTTTCCTCATTCTGTTTGCCTTAGAATAAATGCACAGGCTAAGGGCAATTTGCATTACTTACCCATCTTTTTGTTTTCTTATAAAAATGTTAACAAATTTACAAATATTCCTTTCTTGCTGGTCAAGAGTTGCTATGGTTTCTTTTCTTTCTTTCTTTTTTATTTTTATGTTTTTAGAGACAGGGTCTCATTCAGTGTCACCCAGACTGGAGTGCAGTGGCATCATCATAGCTCACTATAACCTCAGAATTCTGGGCTCGAGCGATGCTCAGCCTCACTAGTAGCTGGGACTCCAGGCATGTACCACCATGCCTGGCTAATTGTTTAAATGTTTTGTAGAAACAGGGGCTCACTATGTTGCTCAAGCTAGTATCGAACTCCTGGCCTAACGAGATCTTCCTGCCTCGACCTCCCAAAGTGCTGGGATTACTGGCATAAGCCACTGTGACTGGCCTAGGAATTGCTATGGTTTTGATATATGTGTCCCACATCCATCGAAAAATCATATGTTTGAACTTAAACCTCAAGGTGATGGTCTTAAGTGGTAGGGCCTTTGGGCATGTGATTAAATCAGAGGGCTCCACCCTCATGAATGGATCAGCGCTCTCATTAAAGAGGGTGAAGGGGAACACCCTATTGTCTTCTGCTCTTCCGCTTTCTGCCATGTGAGGACACAGCAAGAAGGCACCATCTTGCTGTGAGCAAGCCCTTACCAGACACTGAACTACTAGATGCCTTGATCTTGGGCTTTCCAGCCTCCAAAACTGTGAGAAATAAATTTCTAATATTTATAAATTACCCAGAGTCTGTGGTATCTTGTTAAAGCAGTATGAACAGACTAAGACAGGAGTGTAAGGTAAAAAGATGTATTAGTCTAGTCATATTTGCAGAAAATAGTTGTCAGAGTATGGCTACATCCTCAAAAGTCAGAGTGAAATAGCCTCAGGCTTTACCCTGTCATTGGCAACACAATTTTGTAAAGGTGGAAATGAAATCACAGGATCAGTGTTTTGAGGCAGGTCTGATATAGTTCCTGGAGTATGTTCCAAGACTGAGAAGGAGATTTGCTTTGCTTCTGCCTGAACAATCTCCAGCAGTTTGTTTTTGAGATTAATGTGAGAGTTAAGGTACCTCTAAGCCTAAAATTTCAGTTCAGCTTGAGTCCCTAGGGTGAGCTAAGCTCCATTCTAGGGTTGAAGTAAACCCTTTAACAACACAGATTGCTGGAATCTTCACATCTGCTCATTATCTGAACTGAGCAGACATCCCAGGGCCTTTGGGACCAGCATGAAGCCTTAGCTTTACCTCTGCCCATACTTAACAAGCCCTGAACTAGCCTGGTCTCAAGGAGTGGGAATATTAAAAGATTACAAAGGAAACTTAGGGCCAGAGGAAAGGCAAAACTAGCCTGGACTATGAGCTTTCCTGGTATTATCTTTTGTTGCCTTTTCTTGCCTGCTTCTGAGAGAATTTCCAAAGCTATGGCTATGGTTTGAATGTGTTCCCCAAAACGCATGTGTTGGAAACTTAATCCCTAGTGTAGCAGGATTGGGAGGTGGGACCTAATGGGAAGTGTTTAGTTCAGGAGTGGGTAACCTTTTCACACTGGAAGGTCGCATTAATTTAGTTGTACTTAGATAAAGCTGCATTCAAGAAACTTCAAGTAGACATACTTAAAAATGTACATTATTTTATAAAAATCTAACTACTATGTACTTAATAATTTCAAAAAACGAAAACTATTTGTTAATTTTAAAGTTCATTACCCTTTTAATGACTTTGTTGTGTCTGCTTTCTGTTGGAAAGCATTGGAATATTTGGTTGCAGCATGGAGACCTGCAGGTTCAGTTGATCCTCTGGATGAGCATCAGTCATTTGTGACCTTAAGGAGGTCTTGATTTAGGGTAGGTAGGAGAATGTAGAATCACAGCAATAAATGTTTGAAAAGCAAGAAAGCATTTTTTGGGCATGTTGCTGAAGGCCTGGGCATTCTACTGCATTATTCCATATCTCAACTGGATCTTTATTAGCATCAAATGATGACTTTAAAATGTCATCTACTGAGAGCTCAATCAATTCCATCCGGAGTTCTTTAGGTGCCTTGGTGATATCAACTAGGTGAGGCTGAAATGCTAATTTGAGTGTGACATCATGATTCTCAAAGTCAGTGAAACTTTCATTGTATTCTCCAATTAATAGGTCGATAAAAGCTGTGTATTCTTCAAGTTATTTGAATATATCATCCTACTCATCAATGACCTTTGTTAACTGGGCAAAATGTTCATCTGAAATATCCTTTTGAAGAAGAAGTGTTTTGAAAAAAGATAGCCTTTTTGGGAAATGTTTGGATTTTTTTGGCCACATATCATATAGAGACTTAGTTTTACCTTGCAAAGAAATATTCAAGTCATTTTGATTTGACATGATATCACAGAGAAATGCTGCATTCCTATAGAAATCTTCTTTCAGTAATTCATATTGCTAATTCTATTCTTCATAAAAATTTAACTATCTATTCTCACAGAGATAAAATTTTGGCTAACACCTCTCCCTATGATAGCCAACACACTTTAGAATGATACGGCAAATCCACATTGAATATACCTCATCCTTCAATTTTAGCATGTTAGGAAACTAACAATGTCATATTGCATTTGCACTAATATAGTTAATAATACTTATAACTTGTTATAATGTGTCACTTAAAAGTAGCTTTAGCACAGAGATTTTGCAATGAAAAAACATGAGAGCACCTGGATCAGTTAATACTTCTTTTATCTGTGCAATAAACCCTTCATGTTTTCCTGTCATGGAAGGTGCACTGTCTGTACACACACTCACTAAATTTACCAAATTCAATCCAACTTCACATTTACCTTGAAAGTTGTTGAAGATATCTATTCCCCGTGTTCTATTTGCAAGAGTGGCCAAACCAAGTAACTGTTCACAGCAAAAAAAAAAAAAAAAAAAAATCTTCTGTTATGACCCTAATGAAGTATAAAATCTGCACCTAGTCAGTAGTATCAATTGATTCATCCAAAGCCATTAAATAATATATATTTTCCTCTGGAAGTATTGCACGAAGTTGTTCTGTTAAGTTGAAGGCTTAATTCATGCTGCCAATCAGTTATGATTCTCCTTAAAAGAGGCAGTTGTTTGTACTTGGAAATGTCATCAGGGTATAAGCATCCTATAACTTTGACGATGCATTCTTTCACAGTTTCTACGTCACTGAATGGCTTCCCTTTTTCTCTGAGTACATAAGCTGCTTCCACCAGAGCCCAGGCCAGACACCAGCTGTCTGGTGGAGGACTCAGAGAAGCAGTAGTGCCACAGTAGTGCCACAGAGGCAACAGCTCCTCATCCGTGGTCCCACTTTGGTGGGAACCCAAGTCATGCTTGGTTTCCCAGAATCCTCACACAGAGGACTTAGCGACTTTTTACCTGATCCTCCCTTCCAAACCTTCACTTCTGGACTCCTGCCATCATTGTGTAAGTGGAATTCCTAGAGTAAATCTGTTATCCTGTAACACTCACAGTAGTTCTGCTTCTCTGACTGAAACCGGCATTTCACTGGTCACCTTTATGGGCTTTGCACAGCATTTTCTTAAACCTTTGCAAAATGTATCTCCTTGCAATGTTCAGTTGCTTAACGTTTGAGGGGAAAGGTTAATCAGGGCTGGGCCCTATATACATTCCTGTCACATACATTATTTCACCCAATGGCTGTGTGGAAATCTGTGTGGTTCTGGCGTGTGTAGGTAAGTAAGTGCAAAGAAAAACAACAAATGGGTGTTGCAGCAAGGAGCCAAACCCTTTTTCTTTCCAGGGGTCCAACTGTTATCTTGGTGACTCAAGAAATTCAAGGACATCTAAGATGTTTATGTTGCAGTTAACAAAAATCTTTCCCTTTCTGAAAGATTTGCTTGGATGTTTTCTAATTGTGCCAGTGGCTAAAGAAAACAATTTTCTTTCTTTTTTTCTTTTTATTGAGACTGAGTCTTGCTCTGTCACCTGGGCTAGAGAGTCTAGCTCACAGCAACCTCAAACTCCTCAGCTCAAGCAATTCTCCTGCCTCAGTCCCCTCCCTCCTCCCGCACCCTGTAGCTGAGATTACAGGTGCCACCACCACGCCTGGCTAATTTTTCTGTATTTAGTAGAGACGGTTTCTTGCTCTTGCTCAGGCTGGTCTTGAATTCCTGATTCCCAGCGATCCTCCCACCTTGGCCTCCCAGAGTGCTAGGATTACAGGCATGAGCTACCTTGCCCGGCCAAGGAAATGATTTTCTTAGCTTCAAATTTTTCCTCAAACTGTTTTGCAAATATGTCTGGCATACATACACACTTCATTTTTTTTCTGGTGGTTTAAATGTTTAAAACAATTGGGGAGCTGAAATGAATCTAACTCTGGTATAGATACATGCGTGATGCTTGTCTCATATCCTTGGTTCACTCATTGAGTTGTTAGGCCTGGGAACCCGCAGTGTAGTCTAAACACCTGATTCATGCTAGTCTGGCCTGAGAGCTGGGAGACCTGTGGAAGCCACACTTTTCAGGAGTGTGTCTCCCTCTCACGGTCATTCATTAGTACTACAAGAAACCAAAACAGGCTCTGGAACAGGAAGGTAGTGTTTTTTAAATACCTCTGTATTCTGACCACATCTCTTTTCCACAAAGAGCAGTTACACTGGGGTGATTGCTATATCACTTTGAGTCTCCTCTGTTAAGCATTCAATTATAATGTTTTTGAAAGTCTTTCTGCATTTTCTCAGACTGGATAGGAATATATAACCAATATAGCCAAAACCTTTCTTTTCCCTAAGAGAAGAAAACCTCCTAAAAGAAAACCCTACCCAAAGCAAATGATTCATTTCATTTATTCATTCATTCACTCTCTCTGTCATATCTAATACAGTGGTTCTCAATCCAACCTGGACTACACATTAGAATTCCCTGAGCAGCTTTTAAAAATACTGATGCCTAGGCCCTACTTCCAAGCAATTCTGACTTGGTCTTGAATAGGGTCTGGGTACTGGCGGTGTTTTTTAAGTTTCTGCAGTGACTGAAATGTGCTTCCAGGGTTAAGAACTACAAAGCTAATATTCCTATGTGCTAGTCATCGTGGTAGTGCTAAGGAATCAATGGTAGAGGTACAACTCAGCCACACTGGCCTGCCCTCACCATTCACAGGCTACTTGTGCTTTCCTCTGTCTAACACACCTCCCTTGTTTATTGTATAAGTAACTCCTCATGCTTTGAGTCTCAGATTAAATATCACTTATTCAAAAACACTGTTGCCCTTCTATCTATCTAAATTAGGTCCCCTATCATTTGCCCTCACACTATCTTTCCTCTTTCCTTTACAACACTCATTTCAGTTGTAATTACAGGTATACTCTCTATCCTGCCCCCATTGGAACTCTCACAATCAGAACTCAGGACCAAATAGACTTTGGTAATTAGGAAGAAGCAGATTTACCTGAATAGAAGGAAGTTGAAGCTCCAGGGTCCTGTGGTATGCTGGATAACAACACCTCAAAGATTTCCATCTCCTACTCTCCAGAACCTATGACTATGTTACCTTGCATGGTGAAAGGGACTTTGCAAATGTGATCAAGTTGAAGTTCTTGAGATGGGGAGATCATTCTGGATTATCCAGATGTGCCCAGTGTAAGCACAAGGGTCCTTATAAGGAGGCAGGAGAGTCACAGTTAAAGGAAATGCAAGGATGGAAGTGGAGGTCAGAGGAGAGAAAAGATGCTACACTGCTGGCTTTGAAAATGGAAGAAGGGGCCATGATCCAGGGAATGTAGGCAGCCTCTAGAAGCTGGAAAAGGCATGGAAAGAGATTTTCCAGAGAGCCTCCAGAAAGAATATAGCCCTGCCTATACTTTGATTTTAGCTCAGTGAAACTAATTTTGACCTTCTAACCTCCTGAACTGTAAGATAATTAGTGTTGTTTTAAGTAATTAAATTTACGGTAATTTATTACAGCAAAAATCGGAAACTAATATACACCCCACCCTTGTACAGGCCCATTCCAAGACCCTGAGAGGCAGTCTAGAAATATGTTCACGCGGTCTTTGTTTTGTAAAGTTTGCAAAATGAAAATACTTTAACTACAAATAGGTATAATGTATATAATTTGGTTAAAAGGCCTGACTTGACTCACTATGAAATCTATGCATATAATAAAATTGTACAAAATTGCACCATAAATTAAATTTGTGCAAAGGAAAAGGCAAAGAAGAATAAAGTAACTACAGTTGATTAAGACTGCTTTCTCTTTCTACTCAGACTTCTCCTGGTTGACTAAGATTGCAGGGGCTACAGGCATTTTTAGGATCTGGCTAAGCAGAAATGCAGTTGGGGGATACTTTGGTATGTGTTTAGTGGGATATATTCGAATATGTGGCTCATGGTCACTTCTATGCAGCATTAAGTTATTGCTGGAGTGTAGGAATGGCTTCCATGACTACTCCTAATATCCATTGTGTCAAAGTCCCCAGGTGTGGTGACATGAAAGAGTCATAGAATGTGTGCAGCATGTAGTTCATTCCTTTAATCTTATCAGAAAATAAAAAGCTATCTGAAACTAGGCTCAGAGGCACTCTCCTGTAGTTCCAGCTACTTGGAAGGCTGAGGCAGGAGGACATTTGAAGCAAGCTGTGTTCATAGTCCCTGCATTTTTTCAGACTGAGCAAAAGAAGTAATTCATGAAGAAGAGAAAAATTAGAAGAGAAGTAATGAATAGGCTCATAATCAGATGGTTTGATAAGCCAATTAATGAAAAGGAGTAAATCATTATTAATATATTGGGGACAGGTTTCAATTCCTTGCTGATCTGACACAATATACAGGCTTCAGTGAAGATATTATTATATAAACTTAATACACAACCACCAGGAGGACATCAATTCAAAGAGCAATATTTGTTAGTCACTGCACAAGAAAATGTGAAATGCCCTGAGATCTTATAATTCTTATATGAAAGAAATTTGATAGAGATTTCCTCTAATTTGGCAATCATCGTAAATATTTACATAACATTACCAAGAACAAACTGTCAGACTGAGCAGAGTATATGGTCCTTGACCAGACGGGCAGGAGACATCTAGAGGGTGGCTTGGCCGGGTGAGTGGTGCTAGAATTCAGAGGAGGGACCCTCACTGTGCAGGGGAAGTCATCTTGGCTGTAGAACTGGAGTTGGTGAACTAAAAAAAAAAAAAGGTTTTGTATGAAAGAATGTTTCCAGTAAATAAACTTCCCACCACATTTTTAGTTCCGGCTGTACATATGTTGCAAGAAGTCAAGGAATCCTACAAAGCGGAATGTAAATATTCAACCCGTTTTCGAAAAAATATAAATGAGGGGTCATATTATTAATAGAATTAGAGCAGTCAGCCATTAGTTGCCGTTACCAAGTCGTCAATTTGGGTTGTATAGCGATCTACCTAGCAGCCAGCAGCTATTAATATTAATTCATACCTATAGCACCATAAAACTGGCTTTGCCTTTGAAGCGTCTCAGTAGCTGAGGGGGTGGGATGTGTATATAGAAAAAGGGACGTGAAAAGTGCAAAATGCTCCCGGACTCTGATGGGATAAATGCTGTCTTTCTTCTCCACAAGCTGCGGTTTGGGTACTTTCCCTGGTTCAGAGCGGGCTCCTTCGGAGTCTCTGACTCAGAGCAGGCCGAGCTGCCGTGCGCACCGCCCACCGGCAGGGGGCGCGCCGGCCGCCGCGGCGCGAGGCCGCTCTGGCCGAGCGAGGGCTCCGACTGCCCCGGTGGCCGGCCTCTGCCCCTCCGCCCGCCGTCGCCGCCGGGAGGTGCTGCCGCCGTCGCCGCCGCGCGTCTGAGTCGCAGGTACCTGGGCCGGGGCCCGCGGGCAGCACCTGGGCGGGAGGCGCTGAGGCTGTCCCTGCCGGCCCCGAAGAGCGGAGGCCCCCTGGGCCGGGGCGAGGGCGCCGGGGCTCCACCGCGCGTCCCGCGGTGGCCGGAGGGAGCCGGGCGGAGGAAGCGGCCGCGGGTCCGAGGTGGCGTCCCCGCGGGCTGTGCTGCTCGTGAGGGCCGGGAAAAGGCCTGCGGGGGTTCCCGTTTGCTTTCGCGGGGTCAGACTGTGGCTGTCCGCCGGAGGTGCCAGCCTGCATTAGCGGGCCGCGGCCGGGCGCGCCTGCTCGCGGTTAATCCGGGGGTCAGCGCGGAAGCCGCCGGGGGCCTCACGTCTGGGTCTGACAGGGCCAGGCGCAACGTGTGCTTCCGCAGCATTCGCGTGGCAAGTACAGGTTATAAGCAGCCCGCACGCAGTCTGGGCGCCAGTAGAAGCCGTTGAGATGCGAGTGAGCTGTCCAGAGTGACACATGGCCCCCGGGTGGTGCCTGTGTTAATAAAAACAGGATTTGCACACTGTCCACTTAGGGCTGAGGTAATCACAAACTTCCACTCTTGCTTCATACGTTATGCTAAGAAGCAGATCGTTTTCTCTCCAGATTTTCCAACACTGCTGTGCTTCGAGAAAAAAAGACATTTTATTCCTTAAAACGTTCCAGGGTGTTCAGAATTGGCTACAGAACATAATGAGGTAAAAATATACCACTGGATAGTAACACTTCTCACTCTTTAAAAAGTAACAGTGGTACCTAGGAGCTTCTTAGTTTAAAGACCTGTAATATCAGTGGTGTGGGGATTATTTTTATATTATAGCAATAGCTATCTATCTGCTGTGCTTATTATTATATGTCAGACATTTGCCCAGTGCTTCTAATACCTAGTACCTTTATTTTAATCCTTGTAGCAATCCTGTCAGGCACCATTCCTCATGCTGAGTTCTTAATTTTTTTATATTCCTGAAAGCACTGTATTTTCTGGATTCTTTTTCAGTTTCTGAATGGCAAATAATTTTCAGCGGTGTGCTTTTCTCCATGTAGAACTAATGCACCTTTTCCCTTATGGTGCATAATTGTTTTATTGCCTCCATGTCAACTTTCAAAACTATCACTATAATATTGAATTGTCATACCACTACTGTTCTACTAAAGATATATGCTAGATTTCTTGTAAGGAAAATAGAGAATTGGATTTTGTGTGGGCATTCCAAAAGTGCACAGTTGTGGTGTTTGTAAAAGATTAACCTATTTAAAATCATTTTCAGTATTATTAGAACTTAAGTTTATGGTTATGTAATATCTTTGTGCTAAGTTGCCTTTTTTTCCTAAACTGATAAACAGACCTATGAATTATCAACTTAGATTTTGCATCTAAAATAAAATCTATTACAAAGGAATAGCTATTTTCCAAATAAAATAGATGCCTATTCCTTTTTAGTGCTGTTCAGGTTTTCTGAAGCTTATCTTTGTTCACTAGGATTGTTAGCACTTCCTCCAAGTCAGTGTTTAGAAGCCTTAAATAATTTAACTTCTGACTTGCCAGTACATTGTTAGAGAATCAAAACAATTCCAAGACCAAAACATGTTCAATCAGTAGGAGATATACACCCATTTAACTAAAAAATGGATAGTTTTCTTGTCTCTAGCTGTCATGTGGCCCTAAACACACATATGCCAAAGAAATCATATTACAGATATTTGCATTCATTCAATAAACTATCTGGTAAGTGCTTTTAATAAATTGATGAGTACAATCAGTTAAAAGATTTGTGCACATTATTATTTAGGGATAGTACCAAGTCAGTCAGATAAAAATGTAAACACAAATGGTTTATTTAGCTTCCTTTTCCACATTGGGTCTTTATGAAATAAGATACTCTGCTGTATTTTACTTTTAAAATTAAACATATTAAAACTAGCCAAATAACCTATATTTTCTCTTATTACATTATGATGTCTTTTTTTCCTTTAGCCTAAAGTTTAATTTCCTTAAAAAGTGTCCTGAGTGCAACATTGTTGGAACAATTTTTCTAGGCATTTTTTACTTTGGTGGCAATGCTAGTCCTACTGTCAGTCAATTTTTTCCAGCAGCCAAATGGCACTGCTTTAATTTAAATGTATCTCTCTGCCCCCTCCCCATTTCGCTGTGTTGGCTGTTACACTGATTTTTTTCTTAAAGCAAAAACTATGGATTGCTTATAAAAGGGTTTTTCCACAATAAGCTTATTTTTATTCCACTTATTTATTCGGAATATCCTTTCAACTTATTCTTTAGTTTACCTCCTTAGTCAGTTTCTACAGTTTATCCAGCTCTGTCAATTTTAAGTCTCCTCTGCTAAACATGAGATTTCTTAGGCCTTAAATCAACTCTTTCTCAAAGAGAGTTAGGTATCATTGCACCCCACCCTTCCTTTGAAATGTGTAACACAAGCAATATTTTTTTTCCTTTTTAGAAAGCAACGACAGAAACATACAACAGTAGGCATCAAATAGTAATGACCACTTCAGATTCTATGTCATTTAGATATTTTGTTCTAAGTTATAGAAAACCTAATTTAAACTGTTAAAAAAAGAGACTTTATTGATGCCTATATATGAAAAGTCCAGAGTTAGAATGAGCTAGAATGAGCTTCAGGTTTAATCAAGGCTTGACCCTATTTCTCTGTTCTGCCTCACTCTGTGTACTTCCTATCTGTCTATGAAATATATATTAAAATGATTGAAGCAATTTTAGATGTCCTGTTTACACACCATATTTTCAGGAAAAATGTGAATGGATTGCTTTAGCATTCTAAGCAAAGAGTCTTATTGGAGTGGTCACTTGCTGACCTTTAAACCTTTACAGATAGGGGGATGTAATATGTTACATGGCTTTAAATAGGACCCTTTCAAAGCATATGAGCAGTAAAGAGTAATAGAGTTGGGTACCAGTGGGACAGAAAAAGTAGGAATGGATTCTAGATATGCACTGGACATCTGAGGAAATGAGAAACACATAGTTGATTTTCAATCAAAATAGTATGTTAAATTCATGTTTTGGCATATGGCAATAACTGCTAAAATATAAAAAGAGAAAGCCAAAAAATATAGTCAGAATAATAAATAAGTTAAACCTCTCTATAGAGTAGAAGCACAAAGTGATGAGTGGGGTGCAGTTGTTCTGGAGGTGGACAGTGGCAGCCAGGAATTTGGCTCCTGCCAGATGATGTGACTTAGAAGTACATCACACAAGACAAAGGATTGGAGTAAGGCTTATAGCTTGAAGTCAGGGCCTTGGGTAGAAATTCCCTCCCTAAGTGTAAAAGGAGGCCAAATAAAACTTGCTGTTGACTCTTGCCAGAATCTAATGACTTAAAGATGCTGGGCCTAGCAAGGTAGGAGGACACAGACACAGTCTCACAGTCAGAAACTGAACCAGACTTTGCTCAGTGATTGGATCTGTAATAGCCTCACTGTGACTTACTGACAAGAGCTCAAACTCCTCTTTTATAAGACCTGGCTCTGAACTACATCCCCACCTGATTTTGATATATAATAGTATTCAAGAGTGACATCAAAATAAAGCCATTTTCAAATCTACAAAGACTAAAAAAGTTTACTACACAGATCCTCTGAAACAGATTCAAAATGTCGTTAGTCACATACAACTCGAGTGGTATGCAGTGTAAACATTGATTCTAGCACTTCGTGAGTTACGTGTGAGTTATAACTCACAAACAGAAAACAAAAAATAACAAATTTTTTATTAAATTAGAAAGGATCATTTGTTTTCAAAGTTTTTATTCTGTTTTCATATTAAAACACCATGGCCTCAGGGATTTTTTTTTTCTAATAAGGCAGTCAATGTGTTAAAACTATGCCCACACATTCTCTGATATACCTCCCTTCAAGAGGTGGAACTTAAGTCCCCTCCCCTTGAGTATGAACTGGATTTATTAACTCACTTCAAACAAGTAGAATATGATAGAAATGTCTTTCAAGGTTAGATCATAAAAGACACTGCAGATTTCTCCTTGTCTCTTGTGTCACTTGCTCTGAAAGAAATCAGCTGCCATGTTATGAGGACACTCAAGTGGTACTACAGAGAGACCTGTGCAGTGAGGAACTGAGACCTCTTGCCATTGCCAGTGAGGAAATGAAGCTTTCTGCCAAGAGTCATATGAGCTGTCCTGAAAAAGTTCCTCCAGACTTAGTCAAGGAACTTTTAGATGACTATAGCCCCATTGAAATCTTAAACTGTAACCTTATGAAAGACTGTTAGCACCACCCAGCTAAGCCACTTTCATATTCCTGACCCACAGAAAGTGACATAATAATCATTTTTAGCTGCTTAATTTTAAAATTCATTATATACATTTATGATTAAAAATAAATCTCTTATTATATCTATATTGTCTCCCTACTTGTTCCTGATGCTGTTCACTTGTGCTTTTTCTTGTTTTACTTCTTTCCTTGATCATTATTAGTAGAGGCTTGCTTATTTGATGTTTTTTTAAAGAACCAGTTGTTTACTTGCTTCTGTTTTCTCTTTTGTTGATTTCTGTTATTCCATTTCTTTCTTATACTTTGAGTTTGATATGTTCTTTTTTTCTTATTCTGGAGTTGTATTCATAAGTCACTTTTACTCATGGTTTTTAATAAATGTATTGAAGGTTACAAATTTACATGGAGCACTTCTGTTCATGTCTTTTGCCTTCTTTTTAATGGAATTGTTAAATTTTTTCTTGCTAACTTGTTTGAGTTCTTGGTAGATTCTAGTTATTAGCCTTTTATTGGATGTGTAGATTGCGAATATTTTTCTCCCATTCTTAGGTTGTCTGTTTGCTCTGTTGATTATTTCTTAGCTGTGTAGAAGCTTTTTAATTTAATTAACCCCCATTTATTTATTTTTGTTGTTGCTGTAATTGCCATTGGGGTCTTAGTCATAAATTATTTGTCTAGATCAATGTCTAGAAGAGTTTTTCCTCCATTTTCTTCTTG